ATTTTATTTATTTATTTGACAGAGAGACACAGCCAGAGAGGGAACACAAGCAGGCGGAGTGGGAGAGGGAGAAGCAGGCTTCCCGCGGAGCAGGGAGCCTGATGTGGGGCTCGATCCCAGGATCCTGGGACCATGACCTGAGCCGAAGGCAGATGCTTAACAACTGAGCCACCCAGGCGCCCTTGGATAGGCCACATTTTACCCATTCATCAGTTGATAGACATTTGGATTGTTTCCACATTGAATAATACCAAAGTATGGGTGTAAAAGTTCTACATTTGTCCAGCATTTTCTTGGACCGTTTGTGTGTGAGTTTTTATGTAAACATGTTTTCAGTTTTCTTGGTTATTAACCCAGGGTGGGACTGAAAGGTCATTCACTTAATTTTTTTTTTTTTTTTAAAGATTTTATTTATTTGAGAGAGAGAGAATGAGAGATAGAGGCGCACGAGAGGGAAGAGGGTCAGAGGGAGAAGCAGACTCCCTGCTGAGCAGGGAGCCCGATGCGGGACTCGATCCCGGGACTCCAGGATCATGACCTGAGCCGAAGGCAGTCGCTTAACCAACTGAGCCACCCAGGCGCCCCCATCATTCACTTAATTTTTAAAGTTTTGACACTTGTATCATTCAATGTGCAACACTCTCTCTAATGAGTTCCATGATACTGAATGTGTTGGTCTGTTCGGGCTGCTGAAACAAAATACCATAAACTTGGGGGGCTTATAAACACCAGGAATTTTGTTTGTTTATTTATTTGACAGAGAGAGAGATAGCGAGAGAGGGAACACAAGCAGGGGGAGCCGCAGGCAGAGGGAGAGGGAGAAGCAGGCTTCCCACTGAGCAGGGAGCCCGATGTGGGTCTCGATCCCAGGACCCTGGGATCATGACCTGAGACAAGGCAGATGCTTAACGACTGAGCCACCCAGGCGCCCCATAGCAGGAATTTATTTCTCTCAGTCCTGGAGGCTGGGAGTTCTGAGATCATGATGCTGATAGAGTCATGTCTGGTGACGTTCTGTTTTTGGTTCATAGATGGCTTTCTTCTCTGTGGCCTCATTTGGCAGAAGGGGTGAGGGAGCTCTGTGGAGTCTCCTAAGAGCACTGATCCCATTCCTTAGGGCTCCACCCTTATGACCTAAGCATCTCCCAATGGCCCCACCTAGAAATACCATCACCTTGGGAATTAGGTTTCTACATATGAATTTGGGAGGGACACAAACATTCAGATCATAGCACTGAGTATTTATTTCCTTGAATACAACTTCAGTTGTTCCTATGGGCTCATTAAAGGCTCTCTGGCTGCTTCTCCTCATTTCTCCCTCCGTCAGGACCGTCTCTGTTCCTAATGCTCATCAGGGCTTATGGTTGTATGTAGGGAGATGAACCATGGGTCTAGCTGGCTGCATTTCGCATGGGTTCAGCTCAAATATCTCTTGGGAAAACATCTCAGTTGTGATGTTCTGCTACCAGTATTGGCAAAGACTTCCCTGTTCTCCCATCTTATTTTTCTTCTTCTGTGCTACCTTTTTTTTTTTTTTTTAAAGATTTTATTTATTTATTTGACAGAGACACAACAAGAGAGGGAACACAAGCAGGGGGAGTAGGAAAGGGAGAAGCAGACTCCCCGACAAGCAGGGATCCTGATGTGGGGCTCCATCCCAGGACCCAGGGGTCATGACCTGAGCAGAAGGCGGACGCTTAACACCTGAGCCACCCAGGCACCCCTCTGTGCTACCCTTTGTTGTGTTTGTGGGAACTTCATTTCATAATCAAGCACTGTCAGAATAACTCACATTTCTCTCTTGGCTGTCCTTCACTCTGTTCATCCAGACCTGCTATTTTCTCTATCACATTCTTTTAAAAAATTAAGATGTAAGTCATAATGTGGCGGTTAACATTTTATTTTATTTTATTTATTTATTTTTAAAGATTTTATTTATTTATTTGACAGAGAGAGACACAGCGAGAGAGGGAATGCAAGCAGGGGGAGTGGGGGAGGGAGAAGCAGGCCTCCCGCGGAGCGGGAAGCCCAATGCGGGGCTCAATCCCAGGACCCCGGGATCATGACCCGAGCCAAAGGCAGACGCCCAACGACTGAGCCACCCAGGCGCCCCGTGGTTACTATTTTAAAGTGTACAATTCAGTGAATTTTTTAGTATGTTCTCTCTGTCAGGCAACCACCACCACCACTAAACTAATTTCACACATTTCCTTTTAAATATATATATATATTTGTTTATATTTATTAATATATTTATATGTTTTCTTTTTTTAAAAGGTTTTATTTATTAGAGAGAGAGAGAGAACATGAGCTGTGAGGGGAGGGGAGAGGGAGATGCAGACTCCCCACCGAGCAGGGAGCCCAGTGTGGGGCTCGATCCTGGGACTGAAGGATCATGACCTGAGCTGAAGGCAGATGCTTAACTGACTGAGCCACCCAGGCGCCCCTAAATATATGTATTTTCAAACTTTCTTTACCACATTAGCTTTTTACTGCCTCCTGGCAGAATTTCACATGCTAAAACCGGGGGAGGTAAAGTGACCAAAATGATGCTCTTTCCTTCTTTGGCCTTTGCTTTCTTTTTGTTAATTCTTTTTTTTTTTTTTTTTTTTTAAGATTTTATTTATTTGACAGAGAGAGACAGTGAGAGCAGGAACACAGGGGGAGTGGGAGGGGGAGAAGCAGGCTTCCCGCTGAGCAGGGAGCCCGATGTGGGACTCGATCCCAGGACCCTGGGATCATGACCTGAGCCGAAGGCAGACGCTTAACGACTGAGCCACCCAGGCGCCCTAATTCTTTTTTTTTTAAGGATTTTATTTATTAGAGAGGAAGCAAGAGAGCATGCGCATGTACACACTTGAGCCAGGGAGGGGGAAAGGAAGAGGGAGAGGGACAAGCAGACTCTGCCTGAGCGCCGCCCAATGGGGGCGCTCAGTCCCATGACCCTGGAATCACAGCCTGCGCCGAAGTCAAGAGTCGGGTAGGTGCTCAGCTGACTGAACCACCCAGATGCCCCTCTTTTTGTTAATTTTTGAGAGGAGGGAAGGTTTGATAAAATTTGTCAGACTATTGAAAATTGTATTGCCTGTTAATAGAATGATTGTGTATGTATGATCTCATTGTAGTCAGTATAAGTTTCATTGTGAATATAAAGGGAATATAAATATATATGAAAAGATGAGGTGGTAGAGATGGGAAATGAGAGCATTACATGAAAATTGATAATCTGATATGACAAAAATGTATGTGTGATCTGGTATAATCTTTAAAAAGTGCCTTTAGAATCTAACCAGTTCTGCTTTAATTTAATTTTATTTTTTTAAATTTTAAAAAAGATTTTATTTGAGAGAGAACACGTGATCGGGGAGGGGCAGAGGGAGAAGCATACTCCCTGCTGAGCAGGGAATCTGATGCGGGGCTCAGTCCCAGGACCGTGACCTGAGCTGAAGGCAGACGCTTAACCTACTGAGCCACCCAGGCATCCCAATTTTTGTTTTACAAAATATTCAGTGTATTCAGCATTTCTATTTTTTTTTTTTAAGATTTTATTTATTTGACAGAGAGAGGCACAGAGAGAGGGAGAACACAAGCAGGGGGAGCGGGAGAAGGAGAAGCAGGCTCCCCGCTGAGCAGGGAGCCCGATGCGGGAATTGATCCCAGAACCCTGGGATCATGACCCGAGCTGAAGGCAGACGCCTAACCGAGCCACCCAGGCGTCCCTGTAGGTAGAATTTTAAAAAACAAACTTTTTAGGATAGCTTTAGGTTTAAAGAAGAGTTGCAAATACAGTACAAAGGCTCTGCATACCTGCATTCCAATTTCTCCTAATGTTAATATCCCACATTATTATGGCACATTTGTGACAAGGAACCAGTGTTGGTACATAATTTTAACCAAACTCCCCATTTTATTTGGACTTTACTAGTTTTCCCCTAATATCCTTGTTCTGTTCCAGAACCTCATCCAGGACACCACATCATGTCATATTTAGCCATCATTTTTCCTGGGCTGTGACAATTTCTTAGACTTCCCTTGTTTTTGATGGACTGAGCCACCCAGGTGCTCCAGTAACATAGTATTTTTAATGAGTAGTAACCTTTAGGTATACTTTAATACATAAAACAAATATCCAGGGCTGCCTGGGTGGCTCAGTCAGTTAAGCTTCTGCCTTCGGCTCAGGTCATGATCCCAGGGTCTGGGATGGAGTCCTGCATTGGGCTCTCTGTTCAGCAGGGAGTCTGCTTTTCCCTCTGGTGCTCGCTCGCTCGCTCTCAAATAAAATCTTTTTTTTTTTTTAAAGATTTTATTTATTTATTAGAGAGAGAGAGAGAATGAGAGATAGAAAGCACAAGAGGGAAGAGGGTCAGAGGGAGAAGCAGACTCCCTGCTGAGCAGGAAGCCCGATGTGGGACTCGATCCCGGGACTCCAGGATCATGACCTGAGCCGAAGGCAGTCACTTAACCAACTGAGCCACCCAGGTGCCCTCAAATAAAATCTTCAAAAAAAAATCCCAAATCTCTACAGTCCATGGTTGACATAAATGAGTAAATAAATGAGGGATGAGGCAGAGAAAAGACACTGTCCCATCTGGAAGAACTCCAGACACCTTACCTTCCCTCTTCAGTAGATCAGCTCTCCCGGCTCTTCGAGTGTGGACTGCACCTTGTGACTTGCTTCCTAAAGACTGGAGTATGGGAAGGAGTGGGTATGTGTAGCGGGGGGAAGCCTGCACAAGCTGCCTCAGCTAGGTGGTCAAGACTGGCTTCATTAGTTGTGAAGTGGGGGGAGTGCATGTGCTCTGTGATGAGAGTGGTACACATACAGTTTCCACAGATAGTTTTGTAAGTGTGGGGTTTTGCCACTCCCTTGCTCCCCCTTTCCTTCTCCCTAGAAGAATTATACTTTTTCCATAATTACCACCATTTCTAATGTTTCTAAATAAAGGCTTATTATATTACCTGGTTATTATTATTTTTTAAGATTTTATTTTTTTAATTAGTCCCTACACCCAGTGAGGGGCTCAGACTTACAGCCCTGAGATCAAGAGTCTCATGCTCCACTGACTGAGCCAGCTAGACCCCCTGATGATTTTTCACTGTGTGACTTCCCATTCTAGGTACTTAAGACTTAGGTCTTTCTTTGCTTCTCTTCACCACATAGGTGCACCCTTTGCATCTCCATAACCTCCCAATAAAATTTAATTTTGTTTAGATCAGTCTTTACCATTTATAATCTTTAGACTGTATAAATGCCAGAGCTGAGCTGTGTATAATAAACTATGATTACTTTTCCTATTTGACCTTTTGTTTCCTTAGGAGCTAATTACCTTGTTTTCATTTCCTTTTTAAGTTGGTGCTAATCCAGTAACTTTCAGCACTTGTCCCCAGGTTGGTGCAGAGCTGTCTTCCCCACAGTGAACTCTGTGCTCCATAGTCCATGTTTTCTTCTTATTTTTTTTTCATGTTTTCTTGATTTGTCATTTTGGTTGAGCGCATCTTCCTGTACCTGAGAAAACCCTTTCTCAGGGTACATGAGAGGTAGAAGTTTTTGAGACCTTGTATGTCTGAAAATGTTATTCTCCTATTCCCACAGTTGATTGAGAGCTTGGCTGGCTATGGAATTCTAAATTGGGAATAATTTTCCTTCAGAATTTTGGAGGCATTTCTTTAATTGCCTTTTGATTCCAGTATTGCTCTTGAGAAGTCTGAAGCCATTCTGATTGTTTTAATTCTGTCTACATGACCCCGACCCCCCGGGAGCATGTAGGATATTCTTTTTTTTTTTTTTTTTTTTTTAAAGATTTTATTTATTTATTTGGGAGAGAGAATGAGATAGAGAGAGAGCATGAGAGGGGAAAGGGTCAGAGGGAGAAGCAGACTTCCCGCTGAGCAGGGAGCCCGATGTGGGACTTGATCCCGGGACTCCAGGATCATGACCTGAGCCGAAGGCAGTCGCTTAACCAACTGAGCCACCCAGGCGCCCCTAGGATATTCTTTTGTCACCACAGTATTTTCGTTTTCTTTAAAAGGTATTTTTTTGGTAAAGTCCACCACCTATGCCTTCAATAGTGTCTGACATAGATAGAGTTGGTGCCCAATAAATATTTCACTGAGTGAGTGGCTGTTTCTATCTCTGAGCTGGTTGCATGTCTCACCTCCCCCTTTGGAGGGGAAGGCCTGGCTGTTAGTGTTCTGCAGGACAGGTGGTTGAGGGTTGGGTCCTCTAGCTTCTATCTCGTGTTGCCCAGGAGAGTCCTTGACAGTCCCCTTGCCGTGTCTCAGTGGACATGGCGGTCCTGCTTCCCAGAATCGTCCATTTTAAATTTGTCAGTGTCCATTATTCCTAGCAGGAGTTGATTGTAACGCTGAAGATTTCTCTGTTTGCTTATTTAAGCAATCTCTACACCCAGTGTGGGGCTCAAACTCACGACGCCCAGATCAAGAGTTGCATGCTCTTCCAACTGAGCCAGCCAGGAGCCCCAAGACTGAGTTTCTTAATTGCTCTAACATACCAGTGATTAAGAGAAATCTTTGGGGCACCATGTTGGGTGTAGAGATTACTTAAATAAAATTTTAAAAAACCTTAGTTTTGATGTAAAGGACAGGTTATGTTAAAGGGGATTTGAATCTGAGACATGCAGTGTAATAATTAGGCCATTAATGGCTTTGTGGAAAAGTGGGTTAGAGAGTCCTCATGACAGGCGAGGGAATAAAAAGGTACTGGATTCAGATGCGCCGGCTCCAACGCTGGTTCATTCATTTATTGAGCATATACTTAGGACGTGCCTGTGGAGTGCCGGGCATTGTTCTGGCTGATTCATGATTCTAGGTTACTGGGAGGCATACACACACAGCCAAGAGTTGGAAGAAAGTCTTAGGGATGGTGTGAGTGCTAGGCTGACAAAGTGTGATGTTTGGGCTAATCTAGATTCCCGGTATTTTTACCCTTTAGAAATCGGTGTAACCACTACCATAACCCTTTCAGCTGGGAGTTTAAATAGGAAGCTTGAGAAGTTTCTTATTTTAAGTGAACTCTTATCCATGCTTTCTTTTAGTTTTTGCCATTTTATTTATTTATTTTATTTGAATTTTTTAAAATTAAATTTTATTTTTGAGAGAGCGTGCGCATGGGCTCAAGCATGAGGAGGGTGGGGAGGGGTGGGGGGCAGGGCCAGAGGGAGAAGCAGACGCCCCACCGAGTGGGGAGCCTGATGCGGGACTCGATCCCAGGACCCTGGGATCACCACCTGACATGAAGGCAGACGCTTTATCGACAGCCATCCAGACGCCCCTAGTTTTTTGCCATTTTATTCAGAGAGCTCTCTTTACCTTCACCTGTATGCACATAGACCTTTGCCTGAGTTTTCTTCTAGTTTCTCATGTTTTTTTTTCAACATTTAATTTTTTTTTTAAAGATTTATTTATTTGACAGAGAGAGAGAGGGAGCACAAACAGGAGGAGTGGGAGAGGGAGAAGCAGACCCCCTGCTGAGCAGGGAGCCCGATGGGGGGCTAGATCCCAGACCCTGGGATCACGACCTGAGCCGAAGGCAGACGCTTAACGACTGAGCCACCCAGGCGTCCCTCAACATTTAATTTTTTTAATCAGGATGGAATTTAGTGTATGGTGGGAGGGTAGGAATGCAACACGATTTTTTTTCTAAATAGATTGTTGCCTTAGCACTATTTTTTTTGTAAGATTTTTTTTTTTTTAAAGATTTTATTTGAGAGAGAGAATGCGAGAGAGAGAGAGAGAGCATGAGAGGGGAGAGGGTCAGAGGGAGAAGCAGACTCCCTGCCGAGCAGGGAACCCGATGCGGGACTCGATCCCGGGACTCCAGGATCATGACCTGAGCCGAAGGCAGTTGCCTAACCAACTGAGCCACCCAGGCGCCCCTTTTTTTAAGATTTTTATTTATTTGTCAGGGCACGTGCACAAGCAGGGGGAGCGCCAGACAGAGGGAGAAGCAGGCTTCCCACTGAGCAGGGAACCTGATGTGGGACTCGATCCCAGGACCCTTGGGACCATAACCTGAGCCAAAGGCAGACACTTAATCGACTGAGCCACCCAGGCGCCCCGACTTAGCACTATTTTTTATATAACCTACCTTTGGTAATAAAGGCTTAGCCTAGAAATGAGACAGATATGGAGCGACGTAAGCATGTATGTATGCTGCTGTGGGTTTCCCCCTGAAGTGGCGTGTGTCCGTATATTTATCGGGTGGTGACTTGGTGGGGGCGGCATGGAAACTGCTATGATTGAAGAGTCCCTGGGGGTGGCACGGGGTATAAGCTTGGGAAATGGAAGTTGTGGAGAGCCCCCTGCCTATAATACAATATTTGAAGTGTTACCTTGTGGATGACATAGTAAATATATTTTGTGTTTATTTTAGAGGGAAGAAGTTGGCTCAATGGGTAGAAGTTTAAGGAGGGAGAGTCAGCTCAGCAAAAGGAATAACTTTCTAAGTATCAGAGCAGTCTAACAAGGAATCGAGTGTCTTGCAAAGTAGTGAGGCCTGTGGTAGAGGAGGCATGTCTGCAGGTGTTGAGCAGCCACTTCTCAGGGGTGTTCCTGATTGCGCTGCTCCCAGGTGGGGGACGGCGCTGGCTGCTGAGTGGGTCTCGTGTCTGTCCGCCATGGAGCTCAGTGACGCAGCTGCATTCTTCCTCCTGCGCTTGTAACCACCTGGAGGGGAGGCCTGCTAGCCGCTGAGGCCCAAGGAGGTTTGGGGACACAGCCTGTGCTGTGGTGACGGAGCCAGGCTCTGCCCTTGCTTGCTCTGGATTCCCATGCTTTCCATAGCACCTGCCATCTCAGGTCTTCAGAGAGCTGAACGCCTCCCAAGACCATTTGGATTCTTACTGATTTTCTGTTAGGAGTAAGTTAAAAAAAATCTGCCTTGATGGCTCCTTTTCCCCCCTTTTTTTGTGCACACCCAGATAACATTTGTATTCGTTGCTCTCGTCTATGGTTAAAGCCTCTACAAGAGTGTGTGAGCATGCAGTGTACTGTTAACAGTTTCGTTCTGTATCCCTTGAGGGATTAAATTTGGATTTCTTTTTTTTTTTAAAGATTTTATTCGACAGAGAGACAGAGAAAGAGGGAACACAAGCAGGGGGAGTGGGAGAGGGAGGAGCAGTCTTCCCGTGGAGCAGGGAGCCCGATGTGGGGCTCGATCCCAGGACCCTGGGATCATGACCTGAGCCAAAGGCAGAGGCTTAACGACTGAGCCACCCAGGCGCCCCTCTTTTTTTTTTTTTTTAAGTTTGTTTATTTTTAGTAATCTCTACACCCAGTGGACCCTGAGATCAAGAGTCATGTGCTCCACCAACTGAGTCAGCTAGGTGCCTCAAATTTGGATTTCTTTAAATGTGTTTACTTAACTGAAGCATCCCCTGCATTCAAGTGATTAAGTCTTTCCCACTGTGTTTTGATTTTTTTCCTATGTGTAAATCCTACCTGTTACGATTTTGCTACTCCTTTTTTTTTTTAAGATTTATTTATTTTTATAGATTGAGTGTGTGCGAGCAGAGAGACGGGGGAGGAGAGGGAGAGAGTCTGCAACAGACTCAGCATCAAGTGCGGAGCCTGACACGGGGCTCGATCTCATGACCCTGAGATCACAACCCAAGCCAAAACCAAGAGTCAGTGCTTAACTGACTGTGCCACCCAGGCACCCCTTGCTACTCCTGTTTAAACCCTCTGCCTCAGCTGGTGCAGCCACTCTGGAAAACAGTATGTGGGTTCCTCAAAAAGTTGAAAATAGAGCTACCCTTCAACCCAGCAATTGTACTACTTGGTATTTACCCCAAAGATACAAATGTAGTGATCCAAAGGGGCACCTGCACCCCATTGTTTGTAGTAGCAGTGTCCACAATAGCCAAACTTTGGAAAGAGCCCAGATGTCCATGAATGAATGGATAAAGATGTGGGGTGGGGTGGGGTGTGTGTGTGTGTGTGTGTGTGTGTGTGTGTGTGTGTGTGTGTGGCGCATGCACTCAGTGTTATGGATGGAACTAGCGTGTATTATGCTGAGCGAAGTAAATCAGAGAAAGACAATTGTCATGTGATCTGACTTGTATGTGGAATTTAAGAAACAAAACAGGATCATAGGGGAAGGGAGGGAAAAATAAAACAAGATGAAAGCAGAGAGGGAGACAAACTATAAGAGACTTAATCATGGGAAACAAACTGAGGATTGCTGGAGGGGAGTGGACTGGGGCAAGAAAAATAAAATTTTTCCTGTGCAGGGGAAAAAAAAACCTTCTGCCCCTTTCCTTTCTTTTCTCTTTTACATAAACAGAACTGCCCTCTCTTCCCTTCTTTGCAGAGGTATGACACTGACCATCTTTATAATTGGATGGGATTTACTGTTTTTTTAATGGAGTTTTAAATTTTAATTCCAGTATAGTTAGCATCCGCTGTTATATTTCACGTGTACAATACACTGATTCAGCACTTCAGGTGCTCATCACAAGTGCGCTCCTAAGCATGTGTTCGGTGCTTCAACACTGCTTCCCTTCATGGGCATCTGTCAGTCCAGGCCTGCACCGCGTGGTCGGCCAGGGCTCGGGCACTGTCCTGGGGATGTGATGTAGTGGCGTACAAGAGGGAGGCCTTGCCTTCTCCATAGAGCTTACATTCAGGGGGATATAAGCGATGGCATGTGACAGTGCACAGGATTTCAGGGAGTGTTGAGTGCTCTGAAGGAAATCACACTGACATGTAATCTGACTTCAGTCCCTGTCAGTCTCTTGAGGCTTCCTTAATGCTCACTGTGGCCTTTTTTTTTAAACTTAATTATGGGATTTAAAAACATACACAACCCTAGAAAGGTTATACAAAGACCTGTTGCTTAGTTTCAGTGTTCATGAGTTTGCTGACACTGTGTTATGTGCCCCTTTCCTTTTTCTTCTTCATTATAGTATTTTATTTTATTATTTTTTTTATCAGCACCACGCTCTAACCAACTGAGCTAACCGGCCAGGACATTTTATTATTTTTTTTAAAGATTTTATTTATTTATTTGAGGAGAGAATGAGAGAGAGCACATGAGAGGAGGGAGGGTCAGAGGGAGAAGCAGACTCCCTGCTGAGCAGGGAGCCCGATGTGGGACTCGAACCCGGGACTCCAGGATCATGACCTGAGCCGAAGGCAGTCGCCCAACCATCTGAGCCACCCAGGCGCCCTTCATTATAGTATTTTAAAGCCAGTTCCAGACACTGTATGATTTCCTGAAATTTTGGCGGCCTCTCAGCCGGTTTGCCCCTATAGGCGTGCCTGCCCCTGTCCTTGCGTCCTGACGGTGCTGATGGCCCTGCTCATGTCACTCTCTTACCGTGTTTCAGACGGACCTAGTCCTTCTCCTGCTCCTCTGATTGTGCCCATGCTCCTTTGCTGGCTTTCCTCCTCCTTCCAGCTGTGACCACTCCTCAAGGCTTTGTCTGGTAAATATGTTACCAAGGATTTACTGTCCCTTCCGCATTTCATTAGGGGGAAAAAGCTTGCAAACATTCAGAAAACTCTTGTTCACTGAGGTTTTGTGCTGTAGAAATGCCATTTGAATGTTTTGCTGCTTTTAATCTTTGGCATTAATTTCAACTGCTGTCATTTCTTCCATTAAAAAGAATTCAGGCATAAGCCAGAAAAGTAATTAAATTGGTCTGCAGAGGGAAGAGAGAAACAGTACAGTATTTCAACAAGTCACAGATACACACATTTATTATTCACCTATAAAAACGTTAATTTAAAAGTCTTCACACAGTGTATTTTATTAGAGGTGTAATGTAAATTACATCTGTGATGAGATGCCTAATTTTTTTCCTTTTTCCATTCTAGAATGTATGACAACATGTCCACGATGGTGTATATAAAGGAAGACAAGTTGGAGAAGCTGACACAGGATGAAATCATTTCTAAGACAAAGCAAGTGATTCAGGGGCTGGAAGCTCTGAAGAATGAGCACAATTCCATTTTACAAAGTTTACTTGAGACACTGAAGTGTTTGAAGAAAGATGATGAAAGTAATCTGGTGGAAGAGAAATCAAACATGATCCGGAAGTCACTGGAAATGTTGGAGCTTGGCCTGAGTGAGGCACAGGTATAAGTGAAGTTGCCTCTGACAAGAATAGGAACTTGACAGTCTGGAGAAATGGAGACTTCGTTTGAAATATGTGGTTTAACGAAACTAGAGGGATGATACTTCTAGAATAACAGAGATCAGCTTGTATGTTATATAAAGGATGATTGATTTGGGCATGTCTAAATTTTAAAAAGAGCCAAAAGTAGAGGTAACCTCGTCATTTTGGATTTGATTTGGCTGCATGTATCCAAAAACAAAAACAGTGGCTTAAACATCATAGACATGTATAAAGAAATACCAAGGGTGCCTGGGTGGCTCACTTGGTTAGGCGACTGCCTTTGGCTCAGGATATGATCCTGGAGTCCCGGGATCGAGTCCCGCATCGGACTCCCTGCTCAGTGAGGAGTCTGCCTCTCCCTCTGGCCCTCCCCCCCTCTCATGTGCTCTCTCTCTAAATAAATAAATAAATCTTTGAAGAAAAAAAAAAATACCGACGTAGGCTTCCCCCAGATTGTGTAGCTGCATGATCATCAGGGACACGCAGACCTCTGCATTACACTGCACACAGCCTTTTTTGTGGACTAAGACGGAGCCCCAGCTGCAGCCACCTGACCCCATTCTAGGACAGGGAAGGGACGGGAAGGGTGTTGCCCCCTCCCTTCACTTCCTCCAACTGTGCACGGCTCTGCTTACATTTCATTGGCCAGACCTTGGTTCCACGGCCACTCCCAGTTGTGAGGGAGACTGGGGAATGTTGCCCTGCCCACTTCAAGTTCCACTTCTTAAGCCTAAGGAAGAAGGGAGAATGGATACTGGCCAACAGCTAATAGTCTCTGTAATACTCTAAGACAAGATTGCTATATATATTTGACTAAACCTTTGTTTTTATCATGTGGGAGATAGAGGTGAAAAAATGAGAAACATCTAGGTGCGGGGCACAGTCAGTTGAGCGTACAACTCTTGGTTTCAGCTCAGGTCGTGATGTCAGAGCAGTGAGATCGAGCCCTACTTAGTTGGGGGGAGTGTGCTTGAGACTTTCCCTTTCCCTCCACCCCTTCCCCCTAAAATCAATCAATCAATCAATCAAAAGAAAAAGAAAAGAAACCTCTTGTGGTAGCCCTACCCCTGATAACGTTTGGTTTTGTCAGCATACTTCAGGTAAAGTCACATACACTGAAATTTGACGACTTTCTTCTTAGCTTTCCTCTTTTTTTTTTTTTAAATATTTATTTGAGAGAGAGCATATGCATGAATGGGAGGGGCAGAGGGAGAGGGAGAGAGAATCTCAAGCGGACTCTGTGCGGGGCTCGATCCCAGGACCCTGAGATCATGACCTGAGCTGAAACCAAGAGTTGGACACTTAACTGATTGCGGCCCCCAGGCGCCCCTTAGCTTTCCTCTTGTAAGTGAATGAAGAAAGCAGAGTAGGGCTGCTGGGTCACTAGTCCCCACTTCCATGTAGAGGACACTGTTCTCCACAGTGACTGTCCATACCCTGATTTTAGAGTTCTTCATCCTGACTGTGTGAAAGACCTAATTGTAGAACTTTAACTTTGGTTATTGTGAATGTATTGTATGGCACATTCGGTTATTGAAAAGTGATATGAATATGGACTTCCCTTTTAGTTGGGCAGATATTAGGGTTAAGAAAAGAAGGAGGAAAGAACCTCACCTTCTGGAGTTTAGGTTTGAAACATAGGAGAGTAGAGAGCAGGGCAGTTGTGTGGTCTAAGGGGAGAACGGACTAGAGCCAGCTTTGCCCAGCTTTTTCTACTCGTACACTCCTAGGAGCTTGCTAATGCCTCACACAGGTCTGGTGCACCCCAGGCAGAGCCCTGGGACAGTCACCAGAGTTTGTGACGTGGACCTAAGCTTATGAATGCATCAGTGCATTCTGACTAGCTGGCTAGCTAAAGATTTCTTTTTCTTTTTTTTTAAAGATTTTATTTATTTATTTGACAGAGAGAGCGAGAGAGGGAACACAAGCAGGGGGAGTGGCAGACAGAGGGAGAAGCAGGCTCTCCATTGAGCAGGGAGCCCGATGTGGGCCTCGATCCCAGGACCCTGGGATCATGACCTGAGCTGAAGGCAGATGCTTAACGACTGAGCCACCCAGGCGCCCTAGCTAAAGAGTTCTTCCCTTACCTTGGAACATCAAAGATTTGTCTGCCTGCCCTTCCCTGACTCTATCACTAGCCCCTCCCGGAGTGACCTGCCCTCGGTACACATTGCGTGCTTGTGCACACACTCACACATGGAAAAGTGTCTCCAATTATGTTGGAGCCACCTAGATAGAAAGTAAAAACATACAGTTTTGTCAGAAGAGTAGCCGTGTGTCCATTACTAGTCCATCTGAGATGCTGTCAAACAGAAGAACAACATCTAGTTTCTGCAGATGTTGTGAGCATGTGATATTCTGTACGCTGTGTAGCCTGAGACTGGGGGTGAAGAGGGAAGTCATTGGCATTTGTACGTGTCTGTGTTGGAGCACGTATCTGCAAGTATAAGCTAGAGCTGCAAGCCCAGAATGCCTGCATCGGTGGGAGCTGAGACGTGTGGGATGGATGATGCAGTGCTGTCAGCGTTTCTGTCTTTCCAGGTCATGATGGCTTTGTCCAATCACCTGAACGCTGTTGAGTCCGAGAAGCAGAAACTGCGTGCACAGGTTCGTCGGCTCTGCCAGGAGAACCAGTGGCTTCGGGACGAACTCGCCAATACGCAACAGAAATTACAGAAGAGTGAGCAGTCTGTGGCTCAACTGGAGGAGGAAAAGAAGCATCTGGAATTCATGAATCAGTTAAAAAAATACGATGATGACATCTCTCCATCCGTAAGTGGCTCAGTAGGAGTGCGGCACTGATGGTAACCGTGTTACAGTTGGTGGGTTGTCTCCGTCAAGCCGTCCGTGTTTGCCCCTCCCCTCTAGTGATTGCGCTGAGCAAGACCAGAGGCTGTGGGTCTTGGGACTGGGCAAGTCCTAGAGGCTCTCCTTGCCGTATGCTTTTCATAGGTGTGTTTTATTTTTATTTTTTAAGGGATATATATTTTTTTAATTTTTTAAAGATTTTATTTATTTATTTGACAGACAGCGAGAGAGGGAACACAAGCAGGGGGAGTGGGTGAGGGAGAAGCAGGCTTCCTGCCGAGCAGGGAGCCTGATGCGGGGCTCAATCCCAGGACCCTGGGACCATGACCTGAGCCGAAGGCAGACGCTTCACGGCTGAGCCACCCATGCGCCCCTCATAGGTGTGTTTTAGAACAGTGGTCAGACAATGTACAAATACCTTGTGAATGTAAGGCACAATGCAAAGAGGCACTTGATGAGGTTTGTCCCAGCTTGAGAACCCACTGAGTCTGGCTTCCAAGCTCATCACGCTACTGAAACTGTTCCCTCAGATCAGTGTGCATCTCATCCAGTTGTCTATAATCCACACTTGGGACTAACCCTGTAGCCAGTGGTGCTGTGGGTCTTGACCTTTCTCTTGAAACTCTCTCTCCCCTGCTGCCGGTTGGCCACCTGGTTCTCCTACCCTCTCTCTCATGCCGCCTCCTTGGTCTCTCTTGCCAGCTTACCTTGTTTTTGGAATGTTCCCCAAGGATCTTGGTTTTCTCCTTTTTCTGTTGACTCTCTCAGGATGTTCATCTCAGTCTTAATTTATTTTTCATCCACCATTTATATCTGATTCAGTTAACTGAAAAACAATTTTTTAAAAACAAATTTTGGAGTAATTTTAGATTCACAGAAAAGTTGATAAGATAGTAAAGAGAATTCTCATGTGTCCTTCACTCGGTCTCTCCTCATGTTACATCTCCCATTGCCAGAGTGCATGTCTTCATCAGCTCAGGCCATTGCGACGGAATACCATAGTTGTGTGGCTTATTTCCCACAGTTCTGAGATCAGGGTGTTGGCACGTTGGGTTCTTGGTGAGGGCCTTTTTCCTGGTTGTGTCCTCACTCAGCCTTCCCTGGTGCGTGCAGAGAGAGAGGAAGGTATCTAGTGTCTTTTCCTTTTCATGTAAGGACACTAATCCTGTTGTGACAGCCCCATCCATGTGACTCAGTCTGACCCACATTACCTCCTAAAAGCCCACCTCCAAATGCCATCACCAGGGCTAGGGCTTCCATATATGATTTTGGGGGACACATTAGTCCACAGCACCCTGTCTTGTTAGTCTTACTGTATTTCTCCCTTGCTGTTGATTTAGAAGACATACTGTTATGGGCTGCTGTGGAAATAAGAATAAATGAAGCTACGGATGCCAGCCAGTGATTCATCTAGAATACCAGATGATCTTGTAGGGTTTCGTTGAATCAGAAATGTTTAAAACTTGTTATTTTGAAAAAATACCTAGCTTGGAGAGGAGAGCTAACAGTGAGCTAACTCTGCCTCTCCTTTCGGGGTGTACATGAGTGATGGTTTTTCTGAACGGCGTTGCAGTACCGCATGCCACACTCCCCTGCTGCTGCTGGGCGTGTTCCCCTGGCATGAGGACATTCTCCTGTGGAAGCAGGGCCAGCTCCAGTCCGGAAATTTCACATGGGCATGGTACTCATCTATCTGCTCTGCACCGTGCCTTCTTGGTCTCAGCAGAGCCCTTCATGGCATCCTGTCACCGTGCCACTATCTGGTTCATGACCACATGTGACACTCAGCTGTCACGTCTCCTTGGCCGTCTTTCATCTGAAACAGGTCCTTTTCAAAGAGAGAAAAAAGTCTTTCTCTGCCTTCCATGACATAGGTATTTTTGAAGAGTGCAGGAGCCAGTTACTTCATAGATTGTTTCTCAGTCTGGGTTTGTCTCATGTCTCTCTCTGAGTGTGTTTAGATCATGCATCCCAGACAGGAATATTATCAAGGTGACATTGTGTACTTCTCAGATGACTCGTCCCACGGGCAAGGGATGTTTTCTGCCCCAGGGTGATGCTGATTTCTCACTTGGTCTAACTGTTGTCTGTTTTCTCCATTGTGTAGTCACGGTTTTTACCCCTGCACTAATCAGAGATCTGTGGGGAGACTCGAGTCACAGAGTTAAAGCCAGAAGGTTTCAGGGATGCCTGGGTAGCTCAGGCGGTTGGGCGTCTGACTCTGATTTTTGGATCAGGGGATCTCAGGGTTGTGGGATCCAGCCCCGCATCGGGCTCTGCACTGGTCGTGGAGCTTACTTGGGATTTTGTCTCTCTCTTTCAATAAATAAATAAACACACACATAAATAAGTAAAATCTTAAAAAAAAGCTGGCAGGTTTTAGATTGCTCTTAGGTGTCCTTTGGTGGAGGTGGTGAGCAGGGAAGGGGGACTCTAGCCCTCCAGTTCTGTGGCATTCAGCATGGGCCATTGTAGTCCGTTTTTACGTATTTGGTTTCCAAATAAAATTTATTTCAAGTAAGAGTTTCCTGCTCTATTTGAACTTCCTCAGAAGGTAGTGAAGAATCTAAGGCACAGAAATGCCACATGGTCTGTTGGCCTGCATTTTGAGTTTGAATTCTAGTCTGGCAGGCTTTCTGTTACTCTCTGCTCAATCGATGGATAAGCCAAATTGTGGTTAACCCTACATTTGATTATTTTATTTTTAAAGACTTTAAATATTTATTGTGAGAGAGAGAGAGTGAGGGCATGAGCAGGGGGAGGGCAGAGGGAGAAGCAAACCCCCCTGCTGAACAGGGAGCCCAATGTGATTCAGTCCCAGAACTCCAGGATCATGACCTGAGCCTAAGGCAGATGTTCACCCGACTGAGCCACCCAGGTGCCCCTTTTATTTTATTTTATTTTAAAGATTTTATTTATTTATTTGACAGATGGGGAGGGAGCCTCAGGCAGAAGGAGAGGGAGAGGGAGAGGGAGAAGCAGGCTCCCTGCTGAGCAGGGAGCCTGACGCGGGACCTGATCCCAGGACTCTGGGATCATGACCTGAGCCGAAGGCAGACGCTTAACTGACTGAGCCACCCAGGCCTCCCTTACATTTGATTTTAAAAACAGATGATTTTTTTCTAAGATTTTTTTGTTAAAATGATATTTATACTAAAGATTTCCAGTACAGGATTTATAGTACTTGTAAGGCTAAAGTTATCCTGGGTTGGTTTTATAGGAGGACAAAGACACCGATTCCACCAAGGAGCCCCTGGATGACCTTTTCCCAAATGACGACGATGATCCCGGTCAAGGAAGTAAGTTGGTGAGGGGGAGCGGTTAAACGGCAGCATATACAAACAGAAGGTGGTTTGTCCTGTCTTATGGAAGTGCCATAATTAGTGGGTGTCTAAGAGCCGGTAGCCTGCTTCCCAGAGGCACTTGCACACTCGGGTTGCCTAATGTTTTCCAAGAGAACTTCAGATGTTTCTTGTTGGGATATGGTAGCATGTTAGACCAGCCCGTACGAAATCTTGGGGCATGAACAAGCAGTTCCCGTGCGGTCTGTGGGTCTCACAGAGTGAGACAGCAAGAGTTCATTTGGTGCTGAGAGGAGTCTCACTGCACTGTTGGGGGCATCACACCACCCCCGACACGTTACTGATGTCACTCAGCCTGCCTGGGGAGCGCTGGGTGGGTTTCCTTAGCGTGGGGGTCACATGCCCCCCGGGACCAAAGCGAGAGAGGAAGGGTCTAATGAATGCTCTCGTCCGGATGCTGTCCTTGGCGCACATGCGACCTGAAACCTTGTCCGTACAGTCCAGCAGCAGCACAGCAGTGCGGCGGCGGCCGCGCAGCAGGGTGGCTACGAGATCCCAGCGCGGCTGCGCACTCTCCACAACCTGGTCATCCAGTACGCCTCTCAGGGGCGCTATGAGGTGGCCGTGCCGCTCTGCAAGCAGGCCCTGGAGGACCTGGAGAAGACTTCCGGCCACGACCACCCGGATGTGGCCACCATGCTGAACATCCTGGCTTTGGTGTACAGGCTAGTACTTTCATTCTATCCCCTAGTTTTATCTACCGACAGTATTTTTAATGAACTTGCCCTTAAATATGTTTCTGTAAACCTGTATAAGCTCACTTCACCAGCTTCATTGGTCACGTCTCTTCAAACAGCCAGGGGGTTAAATTCAAAATATTCAGCAAGCTCTATGGCAAAGGTATCTCACCCTGTGGAACAGATGGTGCCCGAAACAACCCAGGTCAGCCTTTCTAGAATAGCCCAAATGCACCCTTCACTCGGGTCAAACTAAATTCTTAATTTTTTCCACCAGACTCTGTGTACCAGGTTCCTTTTGTCCAGAAGAGCCTTCCCACCCTTCTAGAGCCTTGTTAGCTCTCTCTCCTTTCTGAGTCTCAGGTTCCACTTGCCCTTTGCCCCTGTTGTGCCCCCAGAGCCCTTAATCCCTGCCTCTCTTCTGGCATTTCTCCCTGCGCTTGGTGTCGGGATTATTTGAATTTTGTTCTCTCTTCTCTTGGAATAGTGTCCCTGAAAGTTGGGGACCAGCTTGCATCTGTGTCCCCACTTTTCACATCACTGTAGCATGCTTCCTCACTTAGGGGCCCTGGGTGAACACGTTGAAGGGGGAATTAAGGAATTTGCCCTGAGGCACAGGGAGTGATGTGTTGGAGCCCTTTGTGTGTGTCTTTTAGCTGAACTCACCTGAATTAGAGCAGATGTGGGTGAGTAGGGACCGAGAAGGGAGAAGTTACAGCAGGATTGGTTTGCTGTAGCCCTTTCAGTTTTGTGGGTTGGGATTAACAGATGCGTGTTTTTCATTGGTTTGGTTGTCCCCATTCAACATTTTTGGACACCCAAGTATAGGTCAGACGGGGCTGGTTCCTGTGAGGCCCTAGAGATGAATGAATATATGGTTCCTGTCCTCGGGGAGAAAGCAGAACCTTGTATTTATAGTCAGGAGAATTCAGGTTGTGTCTCTGCTAGATGGCCACGAGACAGAGGGTGTTGTCGAGAGCCCTTAGCTTTTCCGAGCCTCAGTTTTCCTGAATCTAAAATGGAGGCAGTTATACTCTCCACTCAGAGGTCCAAGGGAGGACTGTAGGCACATGACATGTGGTGTTGCCCTGCAGGCATGAAATGCTCAAGTAGCACATTCTCTAAAGGAACTTATGACCTTGTTTGGAAGATAGGCTGTTTACATTCACTATGTTATTATAGAAGCAGAGAGACTGGGTTCTGCTAATAAAATAACACAGAAGTTTTCATGGAACAGAAAGATTACTTCCAGTTGAGAGGATGAGGGAAGGATTAATGGAAGGGCGAGAGCAGCACTCCAGGGGCCTCGAAGGATGGGTAGGATTTTAGCTTGTGGAGATGGGAAGGGGTGTTGTGTGTGTTTGGGGCTTACTCCTGAACCTAGTTGGCAAAGCTTGACAGCGCCTGAGAACAGTTGTAAGAGATGGGGCAGGGAGAAGCTGGGCCTGACTGTGGAGGCCCTGTGGGCAGTGCTGAGAGGTGCTGGTGGGGGGTCTCACCAGAGTCCCTTTGGCATTGTGCGCAGGACAGAATGGCAGCCAGGGCCTGGAGGCAGGGCAGGATCCTAGGAATACGGAGATGTGGTCTGAGCAAGGCGGGGACGGTGCAGAGGGGGAGGGGGCAGGGAGTGGCTCAGGGAAGAGAAACGAACTGATCCGGCCATTCATCAGAGGAGTGATTTCTTCACGAAACACACCACCACCAGAAAGAAAGCGGCCTCTCACGCCGTGTCCGTGGCCCTGCGCATGCTTGTCCCGCAGTTAGCCTGCCGTCTTCCAGGGCAGCGTAGCGCACTGTCTTGCGTCTGGTCCTGACCTTTTTTGACAGTTTCCCCGTCAATGGACATTTAGGTTATTTGCACATTTTTACTGTTACAATAGTGTAGGGATTCCTTAGTCACGGGTATTTACATTTAAAATCTTGACAGATGATGCCAGTTTCATTCCAAAAGGTTTTTTAAACAAAATTTGTGTGCACTGGTGCACCTGGTTGGCTCAGTCGGTTCCTGAGTCAGAGCATCTGACTCCTGATCTCAGGGTCGTGAGTTCAAGCCCACATTGGGCGTAGAGATCATTCAAATAAATGAAACTGAAAACAGTTTGTATGCACTAACATGAAAATTTCTGGCCAACGCTAGATATTATTATTATAAATGAGTTAAATAAAAAATGCACGTAGGGTTGTTGTTGTTCCATGGTCCCACGCTTACCACTGTGTCGGGCAGTGGGAATTCCGGGGCTTCGCTGCAGTCTGGTGTTTTCCCTTAATGCTCTGGCTGAGGGGTTACTGTGTCAGTCAAAAGTCAAAAAACAAATGGATAGCTGCCTGTACATTCGCATTCATATTCAGGACTGCACCCTGGCCTGTAACTCCTCTCCCCCTTCTTGTGTTAGGGGACATTTAATTTTAAGCTTTTGGGGGAAGGGCATAATATACTGATAAACATCTTTAGAAGTTTTTCCTGAGATTTTGGATTTTTTTAAGGATCAGTTCCTAAAATGCGTTAGAGTCTACACAGTCTACGCCTGGTACCTCTTACCAAACTGCTCCTCAGGAAGGCAGCATCCTGTCCCTGCTTCAGCGTCACCGTCCCCACCAGCGCAGTGTGGCTTGACCCTACACTTCAGTAAGGCAGGAGCAGAGCACTGTGGTTGCCTTCGTATTTCTCTGGGTATTTTTAGTCATTTGTGTCCTGTGAATCTTCCATCATCTTGCCCATTATTCTTCTAGGATTTTTATGTGTGCAGTGGTATACTTTTGTTTTCATTTTGAGTTTGAATTTCCTGGTGGGCTAGTCAGGTGAGTGCGGGCCCCAGAGCCAGAGCCAGAGTTGCTGGGGCGGGGCTGGTTTTAGTGTGTTCTGGCTGACGGTGACGGTCATCGGTTTGGGGCCACACCTGAGCACCAGTGCTGTTGCTCTTGCTGGGACCTCACTTTGGCTAATTAATTAATAGCCTTTGACATTTTAGGGCCCGTCACAGTTTAGAAAAGTGCTCAGTACATCTTGCCTCATTTAGCTGCCACACGCTTTTAGGTAGTTCTTGTTACTGGTTATAACTGTCTCTAGTAGTTCTTGAGACTTTCTGTCATACTTGCTGCTTTTCACAAAACATATGAGCCAGTTTATCATGTGTAGTGGGGTAATTGAAGAAAATAATCTCAATACACTTGGACAGAATTAGTGTGCTTCAGAGGTTCCAGAGGGCCATTAACCCTTTCCGTGTCTTGTAGGGCAGTCTGGCTTCTGCAGGGCAAAGCCTTGCTGGGCAGCTGTTATTACACAGCTAAGGAACGCGTGTGCTCAGTCTCACAGAGCAAATAACTCTCCTGTGATCACGTTGTCGGTACACAAACCAAGGAGGGCAAAGGCTGGGGCTAGGCTTTCTGTCCTACTGCAGTCAGAAGCCTCCTCCTTCCTCCTTTACTCAAGCAAACAGTGGCAAATATGTACCAGATTAAGACATTATAATGTATTTATTTTTAACAAGCTTTTTCATTATACACGTAGCATATCATTAGCTTCTTAGAGCAACTCTAAGTTAGGTAATACACTTTCTAGATGGGTCGTTGGGGACTGTGGGAGGCTGCTTACTATCCCAAAGCCTTGTAGCCATTAACTGGCAGAGCCTGGGCTCAGACCCTGGGGTCAGTTTTGTCTGATAGCAGGTGAAGCTCTGGCGGCCTTCTGGACCAGCTCCCGTACTCTGTGTGGTGTGGGGGCAGTGTTGTCTCCATGACCTGGAGGGGAGAGCCAGGTTCCAAAGCTAATCAGGCCTGATTCCAAGCTCACATTATTGGTGGAGTCTTTCTCTTCTACGCTAGAGGTGTTTTTAATCGTTTTAATAGTGGACGTTTATTTTTTAAATAGCTCAAACTTAACTTTTATTTCTGTAGTTTCAAAATTACATTTTAAAAAGACGTAGTAAGTTATATCCAAAACACTTAATGTATGTTTTTCAATTTAGAGACCAGAATAAATACAAAGATGCTGCTAATCTACTGAACGATGCCTTGGCCATCCGTGAGAAAACTTTGGGCAAAGATCATCCCGCGGTGTGTATATCTGGTTCTTTCCTTCTTTTTATATTTCGTTTTCCCTAATATATTTTTTTATTCAACTCATTTTAATATTAAACTCAACAGGGAAGGTTTAAGAGCTGCCTTTTCACTAGATGGCGCAGGTAGGAATCTTCACTTACTCAGTACCAGTGCTGAGCTTCGGGGCTGGTGGCTCTGATGTTCAGCCTATGTCAGTGCACAGTTAACTTGTTCATCGTCCCCGCTTCACATGGATCACGTACTGTATCTTTTTATTCTAAATCAGATTGCATGTACTTCTATAAATTTCTCTAAAGAATTTATATTGTCTTTTTCTTAAAATCTGGCCAGATTTGCAAACAGATCTGTGTTTGGGTTGGCTTTGTGGCTTCCAGTGAAATTAAAAAATCAAGATCACGGTGTTATTGTTGATTGTTTAATTTTAGTATTCTCCAATTTACTTTGTATAATCTATAGTGTATAGTGAATTGCTCTTTTGCTTTTAACTGAAGTCCTGTTCCTTCACTTAGTGGAGAGCACTTCACTGTGCAACCTGGATATTGATGAGCATGTGATATCTGAAGTCCTGTCTGTTGCTGTTGTTTACCATTCTCTGCTGTTCTCTCTGTGTTGGCAGGTGGCAGCAACTCTGAATAACCTCGCAGTTCTTTACGGCAAAAGAGGGAAGTACAAAGAGGCCGAACCGCTGTGTAAAAGAGCTCTGGAGATCAGAGAAAAGGTGCGGGCAAAGGAAGGGGTGCTCATTGTCTTGAGATGCAGCATTTTAAGTCTTGAGGAATGACCACTCTGGTATATTATGACTGACCATTTACTGAAAATAATTCATTTGATGAAGGATGAGGTGGACAGCCCACAAAACACAGCTAGATGAGCCCATTCAGACCGATGTTTAAGAGGAGTGAGTGGGTGTTCAGGGGCACCTGGGTGGCTCAGTCACAAGCGTCCGAGTCTTGGTTTTGGCTCAGGTCATGATCTCAGGGTCGTGAGATCAAGCCCTGCATCGAGCTCTGCGCTCAGTGCAGAGTCAGCTTGAGATTCTCTGCCCCTCCTGCTCACACGCACACGCCGCTCTCTCTCTCTCTCAAAAATAAATAAATCTTAAAAAAAAAAAAAGAGTGGGTTTCAGTCTTCGTGCCCTCCTGGCCTGATGTGGCCTAGAAATGACTGCAGGAGGAGGAGCTCCTGAGGACTGGACGTGGAGAGAGAGAAACAGGCTTCCTGCGGAGCAGGGAGCCTGATGTGGGGCTCGATCCCAGGACCCTGGGATCATGACCTGAGCTGAAGGCAGACGCTTAATGACTGAGCCACCCAGGCACCCTGGTGTCATGGGTATTCATGCCAGCGGCTGCAGCCTCTGCTAATCAGGTGTTGGGGAAAATGTGGCTTGTTAATCTCAGCAGGTGGGAGGCTCCGGTGTTAAGTTCAGGCCATGAATGACCAGGGGTAGTATTTTTAATTGGTATTTTCTGTGATTATTTACCAGTAATACTGCGAGACATTTAATTTTTGGGCATATGGCAAGGAATTGGGAAAGGAAATAAAAGGGGCTCATCATCAAATTATGCAGGAAAACTTTTCTCATGCCACTATCTGCATGATGTTTATGAATTAAAATGGTCAGATTTTGAGTGCAGAGGACCTCTGGGTCTTAGTGGGAAGGTGTATGTAGGCTGAATGCAAGAGCTGGAGATTCCCTTTGAAGGCTTGCACGCATAGGGAAGAGTCTTGTGTGATAGCTCGAGTCAGAAAGGGCTCTTCCAGAACTTGGGGGTCATACTGACATAACCTTTATACAACCATTTCCTGGTTTCAGGCTGTGCGTCCTCATGCCCCCTTTGCCAGTCCCCATGTGGGGTTACTATAAGGATGAAAAGTTGAGAGTGTGTAGGGGGATCAGTACAGTCTCCTCCCACCTGCCAAGAGTATGAGTTCTGGCTGTTTTTCTTAGTGCAGAGCCCGGGACTGTGAGCCTGGATGTTGGGCACAGCCATGTTTGTGTTGAGAACGACCCTTTTCATAGTGGGTGGAGAATGGACTGGATGGCACTGAAACAGATTGGTGTTTCTAATACACACTTTTTTGTTCCCAGGTTTTGGGAAAGGATCACCCCGACGTTGCCAAGCAGTTAAATAACTTGGCCTTACTGTGCCAGAATCAGGGCAAGTACGAGGAAGTAGAATATTATTATCAAAGAGCCCTCGAGATCTACCAAACAAAACTGGGGCCGGATGACCCCAATGTGGCCAAAACGAAAAATAACCTGGTATGTGGACAGAGGTGCAGTCTGTGGGTAGAGCCAGAATTGCTTCCTTTTTTGAACTCTGAGCCTTGTTTTGTCATTTAACCTGTAGAGAAGAATGTGTGTTTCATTTACATATGAAGTTACTAAGTACTTTATTTTATTTTAAGGCATCCTGCTATCTGAAGCAAGGAAAATTCAAGCAAGCAGAAACACTGTACAAAGAGATTCTCACTCGTGCACATGAAAGGGAGTTTGGTTCTGTCGATGGTAAGGACTATACTATCGCTTCTAAGCAGATACGGTTGTTAGGATTTATTAAAAATGGTGATTTGCAGCTGGAACTTGGTAATACCCAAGTCATCATCATATTTTCAAGGTAGAATTCAATTTGAATTTTATTTTAATTTTTTTAAAGATTTTATTTATTTATTAGAGAGAGAATGATACGGCACACGAGAGGGGGGAGGATCAGAGGGAGAAGCAGACTCCCCACCGAGCAGGGACCCCCATGCGGGACTTGATCCCGGGACTCCAGGACCGTGACCTGAGCCAAAGGCAGCCGCCCAACCGACTGAGCCACCCAGGTGCCCTCAATTTGAGTTTTAGAAATGATTTTGCAGATAGCACTGAGAGGAGAGGATGTGACACAGTCTGAGTGATCATAGGCTCATTCATTCATTCCATCTATCATCCAACATGGTGAACACTTGCATCCTTGCCCTGGTCACCAATTACTCAGGGTGGTCGTGTGCCTTGTGGTCAGGGGTGATGGACCACCTGCCCCACATCTCTGGGTTGCCCTCTCCAGAGTCCAGGCTTGCTTTGTGCATAACTGAGAGCACCAACTCCAGAAAACCTCTCTGGAGGCATCAGCACTTCCTGGAATTACTCTGTTATCCTGGTTCTCAAATTGCCAGCAGGGACCAGTAGTATCCGCACCATGTGGGACCTGTCAGAAATGCAAATGGTTGACCCCATCCCAGGCCTGCTGGGTTATTTGTCTAAAAGAGCCAAGGCCTGTCTCCATATTCCTTACGTACTTAATATACAGTTTTGGAATAAATATAGGATTTAAAGCACTCAATAAAACAATGTTTGTGTGTTACATAAGGCATTTCCCCCGTGCATCAGGTGTTACATAAGGCATTCGGAATGAGGACAGTTGTTACTGCTGTGCAGGAAACCTCAGGATGCACAGGGAAAGAGGTTTTGCTGAATGTTTTCATTTATAGAGTTGCTAGAAACCACTTGTGAAAAATCTTTGAAGCTTGTTATGTTTTTTTTTCTCTGTTAATAAGTGGAACGGTAAATCTCTTTTTACTCTCAGAACACAGTAATGCCCCAGGCTCACAATTGTGAGCATGGATTCTGTTTGCAGTTGTGGGCTGGGGCAAGTATCCTCACCTAACTGCAGAGGCCGTGTGGATTTTGTAGTGATTCCAGGGCATTTCCTTAATGCTGCTTTTAAAAAATTCTGTTCTTGGGGAATACTTGTTCCCTTATGATTTGCTAGGTGCTTTTTGATAAAAATAGTAGCGTGAAGTCCAGTTGAGCTCTAGTTAAAAGCAGTTTTCCTGTATTTGGGTTTGCCCTCCATACAAATATTAAAACATAGGACAGAAGTCATTTTTTCTTTCGGCAAGATGCAGAAGTGTCCTGTTGCTGTCAGCGTGTGACCTTCAGTCTCCCAGGGGCCTCTGCTGCTCACAGTGCACACACTCAGTGGGTGACCTGCTGGGTTGTCTGGGAATCATGCCCAGTTAGCTTGCTGTGCACTTGGCTGTTCTAGCAATAGAATTAGTTCAGTAAAGCTCTGACTGCACTCAGTGCTATTAGTAAGCTTTACATACCGTTCACTCTCCTAGAACCAATATTTGAAATGGGTTTTCATTTTCTTCTGTGACATGGCAAGTGATAATCATACGACTAGCCATGTACTAGTCTTTCCGAGAGGTGGTCTCAGTGTGTAATCATGTTTAATTTTTTTTTTTAAAGATTTATTTATTTGAGAGAGCGAGAATGAGAGAGAGCACATGAGACGGGGGAGGGTCAGAGGGAGAAGCAGGCTCCTCGCTGAGCAGGGAGCCTGAGTGGGACTCGATCCCAGGAGTCCGGGATCATGACCTGAGCCGAAGGCAGTCGCTTAACCACCTGAGCCACCCAGGCGTCCCATGTTTAATTTTCTGAACAGTCTGGTGAAGTGGGTCAAACCTTCACCCATTTTAGGAGTGAGGACACTGTAGATGAAGTGACTGGTCCAAGGTTTGGTTGTTAGTGAGTGGCTGGACCGGGTGTGAGCACAGGTTTCTTCCCCTGGAAACTGAAATAGGTCCTCATTGCAAGAATCCTTGAAAATTCATGCAGAGACGGCACGTGAGAATCACCAATGATTTCAGCACCTAGATACATCTTTTAACATTTGTGTCTTTTTGTGCTGATTGATTTACATATTTAAAACCATATTTTACATACAGTCATGTATACTTATTTTCCCTCATACTTGTACCTCAAGTATTTTTCATAGCATAAAAATTTTTCAGAAATTTCACTTTTGAGATTGCTGATTCTCCATGGTGTGGGCACACTGGTTGTCTAGAAACTTTAGATGGAGTGGTATGGTTAAGGTTCTCAAAAGTTAAGACTTTAAGAGAATATTGATTAGTATCTTTCTCCACTTTGCTCCTGGCGTCTTACCCTTTTCTTAGACTTTTGTTTAATGCTGCCTTTCTCAAATTCTAAATACTCCCCAGCGATCTGTGAGCATTCTAGCATTAGAAGTCTCATCGTAGGGGCCCAAGCGTTTGTCATTGTCTTGGACGGCTGCCTGCCCTGTGTAGGTACATTGGACTGTGTGTCTTCTGTTCACAGCGCTGCATGTGAACGGCCATCTGCTTGTTTCTTCCGCCCTCATAGGCTCCACCGTGAACTTCCTCTGTCCAAGTTGTAAGAAGTAACATCTAAGAAGGATCACATGAGAATCAAAAACCTTGTAATCATTGAAACTTGACAGCCTCTACTCAGTTGGCCCTATCATGCTTCAATTTTATAGTACGTTATTTTTTCTCCCCTAGATGAAAATAAACCCATTTGGATGCACGCTGAAGAAAGAGAAGAATGCAAAGTAAGAATATGCTGTTTTGGGAGATTGTCTAAATTGGATATGTTGCTTTAAAGATAATTATTCACTTGTTAAAATTTAGGGAAAGCAAAAGGATGGGACATCTTTTGGAGAGTATGGCGGCTGGTACAAAGCCTGCAAAGTTGATAGGTATGTCTTTTTTTCTTTAAGATTTTATTTATTTTAGATAAAGCAAGAGCGAGTGAGTGAGCAGGGGGAGGGGCGGGCAGGGAGGGAGAGGGACAAGTGGACTCCAGCTGAGCGCAGAGCCTGACACGGGGCTCGATCTCACGACCCTGAGACCATGACCTGAGCCGAAATCCAAGAGTTGGACGCTCAACTGACCGAGCCACCCAGGTGCCCCAATAGGTATGTCCTTTAAACTGAAGAAACAGAACTGCCCTGGAAGGTGCTACTGCTTTAAGGGCAGCTTGTAAATGACTGAACGTGGAAAGTTCCTTCAGGTGGTACGTGTGCACAGTCCCATAACTTTGTAGATGAGAACGTACCTACACACAGCTCACTGCAGTATAGGTGAAATGCAGGTTCTGTCCATTACAGAAGAAGAAGAACTTACTAGAATTTTACAATTAAAAAAAGTACTGTAGAAATTTCAAAAATATTTCTCACAGACATATGTCTGTTAGTGCTTTAGATTTTGTGCTATTGATAGTAGTTGTTCTAAAACTTGTATTTAATAGTTCTGTGTATCATGTGCTTTCTTACAGTCCAACTGTTACAACTACTTTGAAAAACCTTGGGGCACTTTACAGACGTCAGGGCAAATTTGAAGCTGCAGAAACATTGGAAGAAGCAGCCATGAGGTCCCGTAAACAGGTCAGTGACCTGCCTTCTGTTTTTAACTCACCTGTTAGACCTTTGAGTGTAATGACTCTTATGTAACTTATCGAGAGCTTGATTTAGAAGTAGGAAATATTTAATGTTTTAGTTTGCGCAAAGAAAATCATATTAAGAGACTGTAACTATGACACCAAAAGCATAAGCGGCAAAAGAAAAACTCGATCAATTAGATTCACCAAAATTAGAAATGTTTGTGCGTTTAGGACACTGTTGAGAAAGTGAAGACACCCACAGAAATGGGTGGAAATATTTGCAAATCACATCTGATGAGGACCTAGTATCCAGAATACATAAAGACAGAAGGATCTCCTAGTTTAAAAATGAGCAAAGGAGCTGAATAGACATTTCTCTGAAGGTGGCACACGAATGCCCACAAGCACATGAAAAGATATCAGCATCCTTCGTCGTTAGGGAAATGCAAATCAGACTACAGCAAGGTACCACTTCACACCCATGAGGATGGCGCGAATCAAAAAGCAGACAAAGTTGCAGGTGTGAGGGATGGAGCACCGGGAACTCCCCGGGGCCGCCGGCGGGGGTGTAGTTGGATGGTGCAGTCGTCACCATGACCTGCTACCGTGGCTGCTTCGGAAGGTAAACGGGTCGCTGCCGAAGCGCTTTCCTCCATCCGCTGAGAGGTTGTAGTTAGGCTGAGATGCTGTTTGTGAGGAATCACGGAAAAGGCATACTTGTTGCCCTGTAATGAGGAGGTTTCAGAGTAACGAGTAAATGTATTACTCCGCGGGCATGTGTGTGTCCGTTTGTATAAACTATGAAGAGGATAGGTTTGGGTTCGGTTTCTATTTTTGGGATTGGAGAGGCAGGTGTGAGTTTTTTCCCTTCCTCAGTGGTATAGATGTCGGCGATGACCACTTTTCGTCTGGGATTAAATTTACCCACATATGCCTGAGAATTCTTTTCTTTCAAAAGAGTCCGTGCAGAGTGATGAGAGAAGGCCTGGTAGAGGTGTGGTAGCAACGGTGTCTCCCCGCCCGTGCCCCGGGAGGACCCCCTTTCTTCGGTCCTTTCATCCTTCGGGGGGTCTTCTGACTCTGGAGGGCTGCGTGGGGCAGAGCGCCCTGGGGCGTCAGCAGCCCTGCTGGGGGTCTGGCTGTGTGTGCGCCTCCCCCGGGGGTGGAGGGTGGCTTAGGTGGTCTTGGTGCCCACCTGGCTCTAGAGTGTAGTGACCACTCATCTACAGGAGTCGTGCCTGCAGTTCAGGCTTCGTTTTCAAGTGTTGGGATGGTGTGTATCAAACGAGCCAAGTCTGGGGGATCAGGAGTTGTAGAAATTTATTTATTTTGTTTGTTTGTTTATTTTAAAGATTTTATTTATTCATTTGAGATACAGAGAGCATGAGCGGGGTGGGGAGGCAGAGGGAGAGGGAGAAGCAGACTCCCCGCTGAGCAGGGAGCCTGATGTGGGGCTCCATCCCAGGATCCTGGGACCATGACCTGAGCTAAAGGCAGACGCTTAACCATCTAAGCCACCCAGGTGCCCCAGGAGTTGTAGAAATGTAAAGGAAGGTTGTCTGTGCTTTACCGGGAACGGTGCCTTCCTGCCGGGTGAGGGGCCACAGTCGGCCTTACTGTCAAGTCACAGCAGTACATCGTCTGCTGGAGGGGTGTGCCTTTTGAGGAGGAAACTACGGAAGTCGGTACAGGTGCCGTACTTGCCCCAGCCGCTGGAGTTAAAATCCCATTTAGAATATGGAACGTGTGGGCGCCTGGGTGGCTCAGTTGGTTAGGCGACTGCCTTTGGCTCAGGTCATGATCCCGGAGTCCTGGGATCGAGTCCTGCATCGGGCTCCTGGCTCAGTGGGGAGTCTACTTCTCCCTCTGACCCTCTCCCCTCTCATGCTGTTTCTCTCTCTCTCTCTCTCTCTCAAATAAATAAATAAAATCTTAAAAAAAAAAAAAAGAATATGGAACATGTTACGTCTGGGTCGTTCGAACTGAAACGCACACGGAGAGGAGCCTCTGCCGTGTTGCAGCTCAGCGATGTTTTAGCTCAAGTGTGCGCGGGCCCTCCCTGCCGAAGTGAGAGGGCTTGCAGCTCTCCTCACTCCTTGACGTGGGTGGGGGGGGCGTGTTGCGTTTTCTCAGCATCCTTCCGTGAGACTTGGCAAGCAGAGAAGTGGAGAGAATTGTACGCTTGTGTGCCTGCCTCCCAGATCCTGTCATGAATGTTCGCTGCTCTCGGGCACATCACCTCCATCGCTCTGTCCACCAGGCCTTTTCTGGGCAGAGCATTTCAAATTTGTATACATCAGTACGTTTCCTTGTAAATACTTCAAGTGTGCAAATCACTCACGGGGGAGTCCAATATTTGTTTTCTTTTTTAAGTTTGACATAAACTTTACAGAGGGTGAAATGCATAAGTCTTAAGTATATATTCCTGAGAAGCACTCTTCTGTGTTTAAGAACTGTTTTCGGGTTTTTTTTCCCCCCGGGTGAAGCTTAGCTGTCTTAGAAATCCTTCATCAAAGTTCAGTTCTAATGGCTCCAACCCTTTCCCCCTTGCCTGGCTCCCAGGGTCTTGACAATGTTCACAAACAGAGAGTAGCTGAAGTGCTGAATGACCCTGAGAACATGGAGAAGCGCAGGAGCCGGGAGAGCCTGAATGTGGACGTGGTCAAGTACGAGAGCGGCCCTGATGGAGGGGAGGAAGTGAGTATGAGCGTAGAGTGGAACGGGGTAAGTACAGTACACAGCCGCCGGCGTGCGCAGGCAGGTGCTTGTCTGTCGCCGGGAGGCCGCCTGGGCCAGGCTCCCAGCAGGAGTGCTGTCCTGCAGTTTCCTCCGGGCTTACATGCTAGACACTGTCCTTTTTTCAAATTAAGTATGAATTAAGCTTTTTGTAAGTGCTTATCTTCTGCTAATAATGAAGTCTGTTATTTGTTTGAAGTGGTCATTTTCTTTTCTTTAGGAACCCATGAAAGCTGTTTGGCTTAACTTTGAGCACTTAAATGCTGATTGAGTGTCCTGGTTATTTAGAGCTATAATCCATAACCTGGTTTTATTTTAATGTTAGGATTAGTGTGGCAGAAAACTAACTCGCTTTTTTAACTTACCCATTTTCATTGCTAACTCCAGTGCTCCTAATTTCACTGACCAGGCTGCTGTAGATTTTGTGAGAATTAATTTAAATTTCTTAAAGGGAAATGATGTTTCAAACAGAGCTTGTCTCTAGAGAAGAACAGGCTGGGGCAGCTGCTCTGCATGGCCCACCTCGGTGCTGAATGTCCTGTTCCCACTGAGGGTCCCACGGCTCGTCTCTCTTCACAGGCCTCTGCCAGAGGTTTTCGGATCCAGAACATGTGCCCATGTTTGGAACACGTCACTCCCAGCCAGGTTCTACCTCTGGGTTTCACTGGTTTGACTTTATGGAGATTTTCACCACTGCTGTTTATGCAGTGGTTGCCAAAGAGCGTGTGGCCTCCTGGACCTTTTTTTCTAGTGAATGTTGGTCACACATGGGTAATACTTTTGTACGTTGAGCTGGTGTCTTTGGAATTTTGCTTTTATCAGGGAGAGTTGAATGCAGGATTAGGTGCACGATCAAATTTTTTTTTTTTTTTTTGAAGTTGCAGTAGGTGCAGTTTGATTAGGTAATTGTGCAAATGTTTTGCCAAATAGTAATCTTGGGCTTTCCTATACTCTATCTTTTTGAATGTATTTATTTTTGGGATTTTCTAATAGCTGGAGTGGTTTGGTAAGGATGAGACATTTTCTACAATAATGGTAGTGGCCAAAATTTCAGGGAGAGCATCTTTTTGACTGTCTTTATCTGGCAGCTGCCTTGCTTTGGTGTTTCCTGTGCCAAGACAACCAATCAGCATCTGCTTTGACCATTCTCCCATTGGGCAGCAGTCTAACACATAAACAATGATGGCTAGGCCCTCCTCTGCCCGCATCTGGCCACACTGTGTACTGTACTCTCCCCATGATTCCTGTTGTCCTGCATGCCTTGTGGAGAGGGTCATGTCCCTTCTCCAGTCTGTAGAAGCCAGGGTGCAGATTTTGACACTCTTGAATGAAGTTCTTTTTCTTGAGACAGTATTTCTAGGTCAATCTTTCTGTGCAATCCTATAATAAAGTCATTGGCAATGTAGAGTTCTGTTACCATCTTCAAGACTGAGACTCAGTGGTGAGAGACAGCTGCTTTCCATCCAGTGTGGAGGGCTGGTAGGTGGCTTCCTGTCAGGCCTGCTGCTGGAATCACAGAAGCGGTCCCTCCCCTGAGTGCACGCTTGGCCCTCCTTCCATTTCACATTTCCTCTCTCGCTTTGGACATGCTCTCACTTAGGACACTCACACATGGGGCTTTCGACACCTTTTTGCTTGACTCTTGGACGCTAGAGGCTTTGCGTCTTTGACAGAATCCATCGCAGGGCTCATCAGTTGGCAGTGGTCCACTGGATGAAAGAATCTAGATCCCAGATCTTAGGTCACCCCGTACAGTGATTCCATACTCGCTTTGAGCAGCAGAAGGGGCCCTTTCTTCACAGAGAGTCTGAGATCAAGCAGCAGGTGACTCTAGAACTGCCCAGGTTACCCAGGGGATAGCCGCCCGGGCTGGTGTGCTCACTGCCAGGCCCCTGAGGCCCTTTCTCAGACTCAGCCCATCCCTGCCTACGCAGGAAGGCCTGGCTCTCAGGTTCTGAGAAGGTGGTGCTGAGCTCTCCCAACATTTGGTTGGAATTTTCATTTTCAAAACACACTGTGATTGTTGAAGAAGAGGCAACACAGGCAGTGTGCACTCCTCAACCTGACTGAGGTGTAGGTATGTGCAACTAAAGGAGCCCACTTTAAGTGTCCCTTTCAGTTCACATGTCAGTCCACTGCAGCCCCCACGTTAGTCTTTGTCCAGGTGTGAGACTAAATGTGTCAGGCCCTCGGAGTGGGAGTGAGGAGTTCCTGCAGTGACAAGGCACATGGTTGGGAATGGCTACCGCCCACAACCATTTATCTGTGCACAGCAAGGTTCTGGTGCTGGGCAGTCCAGATCAACTAGAAACGGATTGGGAGTTTAGGTGTCAGGGGCTAGATTTGTCATCTGTAATTTGATATTTCAAGTTGTGGGTTCTGTAAAGGTGGCTTCGCTGTTCTTACTGGTTTATGTTATTCTAAGAACTCGTTACACATTTATCATGAGAAAATGCCACCTAGATTTATCTTATATTGGGGTTCTGCATTAGATTTTAAGTTTTTAAAAAAGGGTTTCAGTGCCCTTTAAAAAGTTTAAAAACTACTGTAGGGAGAAGCATCATATTGCTGTGTGGGGCACTGCTCTTTCAGTGGGGAGGACGGCAGTCCCGTTCCATTGCCACAGCCGTGTATGTGAGACCGAGTGGGTGTGACTGGTCCCAGCATTCAGAAATAACATGTAAAATAGTGAGCAGTGTGGGCAGAGGTCAGGCAGTCTAGGTTCCAATCGCGCCCTGCTGATGGGGAAAGTCTAGGTCAGCACAGATTTCCATGCTGTTAACATATACAAGAAAAGTAGGGTTACTGAATATACTGTAATCATTCCTATGAAATTTCCGGATCAAGTTCTTAGGGAAGTGCAATTCTGTTCTTTTAAAATATGTACTATTAATACGGTGATTAAAGGACTCTAAAATGTAACTTTCTCAAACTTATTTTTCATAAATAGTACGCAGAGCTGAAAGTCATTGTCAGGATAAGTCTGAGTTCTCTTTTCTGGTCCCGCTAAAAGCGCAAATGCTGTGTGCAGAGGAGTCCTTTCTGGCTAGCTTGGATTCCCTTTACCCTCTGTGCACATGGCTGTCATCCCCTCCGAGGGCTGCTGGGGCCATCCCTGGAGCCTGGGCCCCTCGCACACATGGGAGCCCTGCGCTGCGTGGTTATGAAGTAATCATACTTGCAGCCGTCCCACTAGGGCCCCAGGAAACATCACGTCCTCCGTTCTGTCCGTCTTCTCCACTTTGACCTTTTTGTTTCCGACTTGCCAGTTCTCTGCGGGGCCCTTCAGCAGGAGCCTGCCCCACCCGCACCCCATGTTAGGGCTTGTTTTCCAAAGACACTGAACTCTTGCCCAAGATGACTGAGGAATGGGATAGTATATGCTGTTAACTAGAAATAAAGTTTTAGTTTTAAAAAATTATATTAGGAAGACAACTAGACTATAACAAAGAAAAAATAAAGAATAAATCACCTGAACCCTATAGATCATAATTGTTGCCATGCGTTTCTTAGCCAGTACACTACACTATTCATTTCTGTTCAGAAACCCACTTTTTTGATGTATTTCATGGCAATATAAACAAGTAGACTGTTTTTGAAAGAGTTACAATGCAGGAGACCTCCCAACCCTCCAGCTCTTACTGAATAGAAATGCACCAGGGTTCGGGGTGGGTTTCTGCTGTTGTTCCCACTGGTTCTGGAGGGCGAGTGCCAGGAGAGGGTGGGCAGCCCGCTCCATCACCCCCCTTCCCTAGCAAGGTGCTGCCTCCGGGGCCCAGCTCCTATGCACCTGCTGCTGCAGGGGTGAGGGATTGGGCACGGGGAGCGTGTGTGTGTGTGTGTGTTTCACCTGAAGTACTTCTGGAATCTGGTCACTCTCCCATAGTCTGCTGAGTGGCCAGACAGGAATGTTCTAAGTAACACTGCTGTAGTGTAGCAGTGAATCCTGAAATGAACTGCGGGAGTTGTACTGTTTGCAGAATTAACAGTTTAATGTCCTTTTTCTGAAAGAGCAGGAAGAACTTATGTTTTCTTGTCCTCCCAGCATTCGTGGGGAGTTGGTAACAAATCTTATTTTTCCATTTTAAAGATGAGAAAAATGAAGCTCGGGCTGGTTAAATGACTTGCTGAGCATCCCATGGTGAGTCAGAGCGGGCGGGGGCTCGGTCCCCGCTGTCCGGGGCTTCATACAAGACCACTGGGGTTCCAGTCTGCTGAGACCCGGGGTGCACTGCTGCCTGTGGAAATCCATTTTCTAGAATTAATCTTATTATGGGTTATCAACTGCATGTTTAAAATGTGCTAAAGACTTCTAAAGTCAGTGGTTTCTTCAAGTTTCTGAACTGTCTAAACTGTTAGTGCTTTTAAGAGAAAGTCCTCCCTGATTTCAGAGAGAACTTTATAGTTTAGGGATGTAAAACGATTTTTGATGAAGGTAAAGGTTTAACGAATGGCCTCTTCCTATGTGGAGCCTTTCTTTCGGTCACTGTCGATGTTTCTCAGTGGGATCTCCTTTATGTACAGTTACTGGAAAACATCGTTACAGTAAGTATCATGGAGATTTCCAGCACAGGGCTAATCCATGCTCTGAGACTGGAATTTTGTTTTGATGATCAGGAGTGATTAGTCTTGATAACGTAAAAGATAGCATCCGGCCCAGTACCTCTTGGTACGGGTTCACAGAAGCAGGCGGGAGGTCGTCCCAGATACTAAAGCGATTAAAAGCGCTGCTGAGATTTGTGACCTAGAAATACTGTAAGCCACGCTGTGGTCAGTGGGGGCTGGCTCTGTTCTCACAACGGTTTCACTGGGCTCTCTCTCTCCGTTTCTGTCTGACAGGCCTAGCTGCCTCATGTGACGTTCACACTGTCTCCTGCATGACGGGCGGCTCCTCCTCCAGCTTTTACTTCTCTCTCCAGTGCTGACTGCTGTGCTTAGCGATCCCCTAGGATTCTTGTCAGAGCGCCACCTCTCTGTGACTGGCCATTCCTTTCGGTGCTGCTGTCCTTTTTGGGGGGTTCCTTATCTCTGTATACATGTAGCTCTGCCAGATATGTACCTAGTAATATAAACTGTGTTAATAAAAACCATTTACTGTGTGATACATGAGTTTAAGAATTAAGAGCGATTAGTTGTTCACTTTGATCAAAGGTAGTTAGAAGTCTCCCGCAGGTGTTAATGCTGTGGCATGACCGTGACCGTTGAACTAGCTAGGCTGTAGGAGTAGGGCATGTGCTGCTCCCGTTGTCCTCCGAGACCCGGCGGGGCCACCCGCACCCCGGGCTCTCCCCTTAGGATCTCACTCCAGTAGCGTTTGCTGTGTAGTCTCTGTGACATTTTGGCAATTTTGCTTTTCTCCACTAATCTTTAAGTGTTCGGTGATTTGTGTATTTGTCTTTCTAACTTCTAATAAACTCACTCCAACTGACCCGTGTCTTGGTGTCTGTCTGCCTAGTAGAACTTCTCACTCTTTCCATGGAATGCGGCATTGCGTAGCTTCTTGAAGGAATGGGGCTACTGTTAATCTCACTAAATGATTCATTCTGAGAATAGAAGTTGCTTATAGACACATTTTTTTCACTCTCTGCGTTTGATTTTCATACCCAGATACTGCCAAGTGTATCACTTGTTAATGCTCGGGCCAGTTAACGATGAAAGCTGGACAGTTTTTTACTTGCTTCCTACAAGGTGTCAGAGGGGTTTTAATGGGATGAGCATTTTATTTAATTTTCCATCCACATTTAAAATCAACATTTAATAAAACTTTTTTAAAAATTTACTAAAGGGGCGCCTGGCTGGTGCTGGCTCAGTCGGGAGAGCGTGCAGCTTTTAATCTCAGGGTCGTGAGTGCAAGCCCCACACTGGGCGTAGAGAATACTTACTTACTTACATACGTAAATAAATGAATAGTTAAAAAATGAAATTTACTGAAGCAGTACATGTAAGTAGTATATATACACAAAAGTTGTGTCATCTCTCAGTGGTTGGGTCCAGCAGTTATGTGGACCAGATGCTTCTGTTCTTACTGAACGTAGAATTTGATTTTGGTGATCTTCCAAGAAGCAGCCTTAATTTTCTTGAGACTTTTTCTGTGTGTGACCTTTTTTGTTTCAAAACAGCAATATGATTTTTGGGGATATTATTTTTTGTTTGAACTTCTTCATGTTCAGAGGTTTTTCATGATCATTGGATTGTCTTGACTGAAATTTAAAATGGATAGATTTCTATTTAAAGTGTATTTATAGACATGGCAAACTGGTAATTTCTGTAGCAACTGTATTGCCAGCAAGTCACAGACAAGTAGGTCAACCATGATGTGAATTCTTGTTTTCATTCAGCTTTGCTTCTCGGGAGGCCGGGAGAGGACCGTCTGCAGTTTCACATGTGTTCACGTTTCTTTCAGGATGGCACTGGATCTTTAAAGCGCAGTGGTTCCTTTAGCAAACTCCGGGCTTCAATTAGACGCAGCAGTGAGAAGCTGGTTAGGAAGCTGAAGGGAGGAAGTTCTCGAGAGAGTGAGCCAAAGAACCCCGGGTAATTATCTATCTGCGGCCCCTGTTGACCGCCCCGCCGCGCGGCGTCCAGTGGCCCTTCCTTCCCAAGCCGTCCCCGCTGCTCCTCACATCTCTGCCCCGGGGCTGGAGCAGCTCCCGGCCTCTCTTCACTTCCTGAGAAGGAACTGTGGGGCTTCCTGTGGAGGGGCTAGAAGGGCGGGGGCCTTCCAAACAAACCTGTGGAAGTCTGCGGTCTTGTTGTTGCGTGTTCAGAGAAAGCCTTAGCAGTGACAAGCGCGAGCTTCGTACGAGAACACTGAGCACATTCACGTGTTTACTCCAGATAGCTGCTGTTTCTTTTTTAAAATTAGTATTAGTTTAAATTCTTTAAAATTAGTTTTGATAATCCTTTTAAAATCATAACGGTAGCTATGACTATATGAGACTCACAGGTATTAATGTAGGGAGAATAATGTTTTAAATAGAAGGATTACAGTTTCAGGCCTTTAGTATAAGGAGTTTCTTTAGGATTTAAAAAAAAACACATTTTCCATGTGTTTAAAAGAAGGTGCACTCTTGAGTCTTAGAGTCTTTTGAACAATAACATTGACGTTGTCGAAGGAATTTGGTTTTGAGGTATTCTGTTCTTTATAAGGCGCACCAGAGTGTTAACAATCTGCCCCCGTTTCTGGGTTATTTCTAATGTAAACAGCATCTTGTTTGGGATGCATTTCTCAGAGAGGCACTGTTTCGTCAGCTGTTCCATGAAACTCTGAATTCCTAAGTGGTGCCTTCTTTTTAAAGATTGAGTCTGAGTAAAACTCTTTTGTACAGGTGACTCCACTTTCCCTTCTGTGGGCAAGAAGTCTCCCACTGCTGAGACTGGGAAGCGGGGTCCCTTCATACGATGTGTCAGAGACCTGAGGTTAGGGGCTCTTCCAGCTGCTTCCTGTGTTGTTTTGAGGGGTGTCCAGTCTCGTTCTTGTCTCTGTCAGTGAAGGCATAGCTCCTGAGACCCCTGGGACTCCCTGGTGCTGCCCTACAGGCTCAGCCCCCCAGCTGGGGAGCAGAGGCCCAGGTCTGCTGTCTGCCCTGTCCTCCCAGGCGTCTCTGCTGATGGATGCACACATTTTTTGATGGCTTGTGAGGCAGGACAAGCAATTTGATTTGTATAGGTGGCCATCGCCCTGCTTCTCAAGGATGTTTCTAAGCCTGTTTCTGTAGAGGGAGTCTTAATGAGCTCCACACGTTAGTTGTGACACTACCTGGAAGGTGCAGTGTTGAAAGCCAGCTGGGGCTTCTGGAAGGAGGTAGGGCTGAGCAGCAGACTGCCGTCCTACCCTGTCTGCACCAAAGCCTGCGACCCGACAGATGAATGTGCATCCGGGAAGTTGCCTTTGGGATAAAGTGCTTGTTTTAAAATATTTACAGAACTAAATGATAGGTCAACTACCTGCCTCACCAAATTTTGAAAGATTTTTTTTTTTTTTTTTTTTTTGGCCACGTTGCAAGGATCCGCACAGACTGTTGAATAGTCGCCTAGTTTATGTTCCTGGGCTGGATCTGACGAGCGGAAGTGCTCTCCACATGCCATAATTTGGCTCCTCCAGGGCAAACACACTGGCTGTTGGAGGTTCTGGAGGTTTTGAAGCTTTTTTTAAATGCAGAATCCAGTTCTGGCACTGAGTCCTATGACGTGGCCCGCCCTTCCCACGTGACAGAGCTCAGACGTTTTCTGTCCCCTCCTGTGCCTTCTTCCTGTCGCGGCTGTGACGTAGCTGTGCAGACACTCCCTGGCGTGGTGCTGACCACACACGTGCGCACACGTTGTCACGTGTAGTACTGGAGATGGTACCTTACTGAACTTGATGAAAACTGAAATGGCTCTAGAAATTTTATCCCATAAAAATGCATAAAACTGAATCATCTGTCCAGGTAAGAGTAACTGCATTTATTCACTGGGCCAGTGGTTCTCACACCTGAGCATCAGCGTCTCCGGGGCATTTGAACACAGACTGCTGGGCCCCCTCCTTCAGTTTATGGTGCAGTGGGTCTGCACTCCCCACCTCTCACAGCATTGGCCTTTCTGGCATGTTCGCAGCTAGTGCCCGCACTGCTGGTCTAAGACAACATTTTGAGAACCACCAAACTCGGCATTCTTCCTGTTTCGTACCCCCACGGTGTAAGGGAAGGGTGTGGATGCAGCTCGCAGAGTCAAGGGGAGACTTACTGGCAGGAGTCAAATTGTTTTTACTGTTGTCTTGTAAGGGAAAGAGTTTGAGGAAGAGGGTTGTATAACTCTCTTAGAAAAAGTCCACTGGCCACTTAAATAACAATAATTAAGTGTGCCAGTGTGATTTGGTTTGATTTTATCCTTTGTTCTTGAGTAGTGCTGTGTAGAGAAAACTTGCTCAGAATTCTAGTAGCACTTAGGTAGGATACATGGGGTTGTTGTGTTTGTGTTTGTCTTGGTTCGGGCATTTTGGGAGTGAATTTTACTTGAGCTTAAGTGAATTAAGGTCTTTTGCTTTTGGTGTAGTTCATTCAGTGAGAACTTGGTCAGTACCTGCCATTTGCCAGGCGCTGTGCCCATCCACGGTGCTGCTGGGCACTCGGTGGTGGCCGCGGCCTTAGTGCCCGTTCCTGGTGCGTTTGTGTCTGGTTGTGCCAACCCCTCACACCTGTGCTTCGGCCTCACAGCCGTGCCTTCAGCTCACGGATGAATACTAGTGTGTACTATGTATGTCGTAGGTAGTTCAAATTTATTATTATAGTTCCTGTTGCAAATACTTAAAAATAACTATTAATGTCAGTTATTTTAACTTTAAAAGCTAAGGTGATTTACTGTTTGAGGGCATCCCTGGTGGTGGTAAGCAATGATAGTAACTTTATGACTACCATTTAAGTTTAGGTTTTAGGTTATTTGCAGGATATTTCATCAAGTTATTTTAAAGGTGTCAAGTGGGAGAAAAAAGTAAATACACATTTAAATCACTAGATTTCCTTAAAGGTAAAGCCATGAAATTTGTTTTAAATTTTGGTTTCTAAGCAGAGAAATCAGACTCTTAGTGTATTTTGCTAATAATTATTTTTCCTTTTAATATAAAATTTAATATAAAAATACATAAAGTACACGAATATATGTAGATACTGAGCTTCAAGGGGTCTCTCTTTTACATGGTCACTTAGGGTGAGTGGTAGGTTTTGGAGGAGGCTCCAGGCTCCCTTCTTAAAACTGATCTGACGTGCCCTGCAGACTCAGGCCCAGCCAGAGGGCTGCGCGGGCAGAGCTTCTTGGCTCTTCCACGAGCCAGTCTTCAAATTGTGAACGTATGAGGACACGTGGAATTTACACATAGTATTTAAGACAAATACTTTGGTGAGACAGATGCAGAGAAACTGTGCTTTTTCTCTACTGAACTTTAAATATGGATAGACCCGGGGCGTCTGTGTTAAGAACTGGGCAGACACCCCTGCCCGAGAGAGAGAAAGGCCCGCTCTCCACGAGGGATTGCCCCCGCCGTGACAGAGGCCTTGGGGGTGTCTTTGCTTTGTTTGCTGCTCTGGTTGACTGACACGCTGGTTTGTCCTTTTGCATGTCCACTGCCCTGTTTGCAGCATGAAGCGTGCCAGTTCCCTGAATGTCCTTAACGTGGGTGGCAAGGCCGCTGAAGACCATTTCCAAGTAAGGAGCCCTGCCCCACTCAGTGCCCTTGACTACCCAGCTTAGGGAGCTGGGTGGCCGCAGGCCCTTCCCGGGCACCGCTGCAGCCTCCGACGGTCTTGGGAACACTCGAGTATTTTCTGGGTCTTAGAGAAAGAGGCCATCATAATGATATTTCTGGATTCTGCATTAATTTGATTACGTAATTGTGCGAATGTGCATATCATGGACATTCTCAGTATATTCATGATCTTTGAATAGTTTGATTAAGCTAATTAAAATTTAAATATTCCGATAAAGTAATATCAAAACTGGGTCACTTATTGTGTATTATTAATTTGTATGATTTTAGCCTCTGGTAAGTTTGTAACTAATTCATTGTCCAGTTAAGCTGTTGTTCAGTGTTTTAAAACTATTAGACCTTTACTAATGTAACTGATATATTGTCACTTTTACACCCAATCTTTAGCACTTTTCTTGGTGTCCCAAGGCTTGCACGAACCTGTCACCTTCACATTTAAAACTGTTGGCACCTTCTTCTTCTCTTACTAATTTTCCGTTTCTTTTCAACGTCTGGTGTGGCTGTCGGGTGCGGCCAAGGGTGCCGAGCAGACCCGGCAGCTGAGCTTACAGGAAAGAGAACCTTCTGACCTTAGCAGTTATTGCCCGTCCGCCCCGACCAGACGTCCTGGCCGTTGCACCTCTTAGCAGCCCTGGCCCAGCTGCTCACCTCTTGGATGCTCACGGGTGGTAGCAGGCTTTCCTCCTCAGCCTCCAGCACCTCAGGAGGTGGCTGTTTCCAGGGTGCTTTCTGCCAGGCCTCCGGTGAGATGTGAGGTACCGGTAGGGCTGGCCAGTGCGCTTGGAGCGCGCCTGCTCGTGAGAGTGAAAGAGGTGTCGCCGTCGTAAAAGGTCTGGGGTCGACCGGGTCCCGCACTCCTCCTCGGTGCTGGCCCCTGTGCACGTGAGCGTCAGGATGCCCGAGTGTTGACATGAGAGGTGTACTGCTGTGATTGTTACAGCTCTGAGACCCCTTGACTCTGGCGTCCTTTGGAGTATGGGTGAAGTGTAATTTTTCCATTTGTTTTTTCACGCAGGAACGAAATACTTGTCTGGCAGACTTGTGAGCTCTGAGTGCCAGCCACCCTGACCTGGCCCACTGAGGGCCGAGGCAGAGCTAGATAAACCCCCTGAGACTAACGAAGCACCGAGACCCTCCAAGTTTTGCCACGCCCCTCCCCGCTCTGCAGGGGACCCACCTCCCAGGTTGCTTCCGTTCCTAGATAGTGCTGTCCGCCACCTCGGGGAGGTTTGGCCCGAGTTCTGTTAGGCTGGCTGCGGCACTAGCGACCAAGAGCTGCTGAAGTGTGAGTGTGAGACCGGCCGGGCGTGGCGGCCCAAGTGGCCCACCAGCCCCGGCAGCTGGCTTCAGCACGTTCAGAGTCGGCCGCTGCTCACGGATGCTTGTACTTCCTGCCATTACACCAGAATCGATTTTAAATTTTAATACCGGATTAAGGCTGTAAATTGAGACTCTGGAACTTTATGCTGCACCCTTCTAGACTAAGCATCTGATGAGCTCTGGCAGTGCTGCCTGGAATTCAGAGAGTGGGTGACTTGCCAGTGGGTCTGGGTCTCTGCTGAGTCCCGCTCCTGCAGTGTGGCCCCTCCACGGCTCTGCCGGACACTCCGCGGGCTCCTGAGCCCGCCCCCGTGGAGCCCGTTCTCCCTCTGCCGGCCCGAGTGCTGAGCAGGAAGAGATGCGGGATTTATTTTTAAAGTTTTTTTTGTAGCATTAAGTAACACGGGGTAGGTTTTGACAGGAACATTTCGCAGTTCACCGGGGCCCTGCCTGTGAGGGGATGCGTGAGGCTCATGGGTAGGTTTAGAACGTCCTGAGCAGACGACAAGGGGTTTGTGGCTCCTGGTGGCAGCGGCGGTAAGAAGGGCCTCGTCCAGGCCAGTGGGCGGGAGTGTGAAGACGCAGCAGGTCGATGAGGGGGATCGAGAAACTTGGAGCGTCCCCGTGGTGTGCTGCTGTTTGTGACGTTAATGTTTGGTGGTGTCACCGCAAGGGTACATGCTTTTGTTTGTCCTCAGTCACCTCTCCCTCCTGAATTGCACTCAGCTGGAGTACGTGCTCACCGGGACTCCCTGAGGGGTTGCCCCGGGGGCCTCCACATACTGCACGTGTCCTTCCGGGGCTGCAGGCCCGAAACCGTTCAGAAATGTCCCATCATTTAAGACCACAGGAGCACGTGGCCTCGCCTGCCGGTGTTTGTGGCCATGTGCTTGTTCCCGCCCAGAGACTGGCGCTCTGTGTCCTGCCTGCAGGAGCCCGTGCGTCTGGCCCGGTGTTGCAGCTTCCGAGGGACCAGGAACTTACTTTGTAAACGCTCCAGAGTTGGTTTACACGTGGGATGGGTTGTGAGACACTCGAGCCAAGGGAACGCGTGAGCCGTGTCCCCGCAGAGGCACTGTGTGCTCTGCACTTCCCTTCGCGGTGCAGGGGGTGTCGGGGTGTGATGTGGCTGGTCCCCCTCCCCTCCATCCCCAGTGCTCCTCGGGCCACGAAGCGGATCCAGGACATTGGAAACCTACCCAGTTTCCCTTAGTGACACTTGGATCTGGAGAACATGGGGCTGAGAACAGGATTTAACGTTGCACTCTCACGTGGTGGGAACCGGCCACCGTGCAGGGGCCTTGGTCAAACCGCCCCGCTTGGTTCTCTGAGGGCCGACGTTGCCTTGTGGGGCTGTGAGGAAATGTGGCCGGGGTGAGAGAAGCCCGGCGGCCTCCTTAAACCAGGTCGTTAAGAAACCTTCCTGTCTCGGGACACTGCCTGGAAATCTGTGCTGATTTTTGAACTTGTATCAAAACAGAAATGAGCCTGGTTATCACTACTTCATTCAAGTCTTGTGTGGATTTTAACATTCTCGAAGAGAGAAGCAGTGGGGGTGGCTGTCCCTCGTCCGCAACGTTTTCCTTTCTTGGTGAGGTGACCCTTAGAGCATCGGCACCCACTGTACATCATTCCTGTCCCGTTCGAGTCCCCAACCAGCAGACAGGAGGGGGACAGGCGCTGGCCATGGTCCGCGGAGCCCCCACCATGGGTCGTCACGGTGGAGGCTGTGGCAGGCCTGGGCCTCCTGACCCTCCCGGCTCTTGCCCACGCAGCCGACCCGGCAGTTCACGGGGCCAGCGGGCTGTCTCTGTGGCGCTTGCTTTGTGTTTACAGTATCGGGGGGAGTCTGTTGTTTCCTGGAATTAAAAAGTTCCTATCATTTGTTTGTTCAGAAAGCTGCTAGAAATAGCATGTAATGAGAAATTCAGTGTTTATGGTAACATAAATATTGCTAAAAAATACATTGTTTACAGTTTATAGAACAGATTGCCCATCATCATAACTTTATAGAATGTTCTTGGGAAGCACGCGGCATAGATGAGGCTATATTCTGAGATGTTTGTATTTGCACTTCTTTCTGAGCAGTGTACTGTATGGTCTTCAAACTTCTGAAAACTCTATAAAGTGGAAGAGCAGCGACAGAGGGTGAGGTTCCCATGAGCGGAGGGCGGCTCATCAGGGAGTACCAGCATCCTATGCGTGACTGGGACAGGCCTAAAGACGCGCACTGTTCCACATTTGTCCCCATCGTCCTAGGGGAGAACCCTGGGGGGGGGGGGCACACCAGGTCTGCGAGGCCTGACAGTGCTGAGGAGTGCATGGGACGGAGGGTGTCACGGAGAGACCGCCCTGCTGCAGGGGTGTCCCTCTGGGATGGGTGGGCAGGGCTCCAGCACTGGTGTGCATCCCCCCAGGGGTCTGCCACGTGTACACTCTGTCTTGTAGTTTCCTCACTGTTAGTGTGATTTGCCTAGAAAATAATTTGGGATTGTTTATTATTTAATTACAAAAATAAAATGGCTTATTTCCTAGTGTGAAGAATCTGCACTTGCAGAAAGGCTTTTATAAAATTGCAGCCCTAAAAGACCTTTTTCCTGTTTATACTAGCCATTCTTACCCTTTTGAGGGCCACAGAATATTTTAACCAGGCAATAAAAATTACAGATGAATGTTTCTGCTCTAGAAAATGTTCAAACATTCTGCCCAGTTCCAGGGACCTCTGCCTCCACCCCCAGCACTGGGTCAGGCGTGTGCCTCTCTTCCCGGCACCAGCCCGGGGTCCGTGTCTGGCTCATGGAGCCACGGGGAGGATGGCCAAGTCACTGGACTGCTCTGTGCCTCAGTGTCACTGAGACCAAGGATGGCAACTCCCCATCCCAGGGGCTGTGGAGAAGACCTGCATCAACGTGGAGGAGTTAACTTAGGGCAGAGCTTGGCAGAGAGTGAGCTGTGGTGAGGGGGTCGGTCCCGGACCCACTGTGCCAGGCAGCATGGGGAGCACGGGGGGCATGGGGCATGGGGGGAGGCCTCGGCGGGCAGCTCATCTGTGTGCACGGCCTCCCTGCCGTGGAGGAGGTGCAGCCAACAGCCTCGAGCACATCCTGACCCAGCGATGGGTGTGGGGGTCGTCAGCCCCCCGTGCCCGCAGGGCGTGGAAGTCTCTGCCGGAACCCGCGGCTGACCTGGCCGGCTGCTCCGCAGCTGCCGTCAGCAGGACGTGGTCCCAGGAGTCCCTCGCACTCCCTCTGCGTTGACTGTGTAGGAACAGGACGAGGGGGGCAGGTGAGGGGCGAAGACCACCCTCAGGGTGCGGTCAGGGTGGCGCCGACTGACCATCAGTCTCATTAAGAGCTGGTTGGACCAGGTCATTCCGAGAGCTGGAGAAACCCGCTCGTCCCAGACACTGAGAAAACAGGCCCAACCGTTACTTATAAAACCGCAGGGGTCCCACCGCTACTTGGGCGGCCCTCCTGCCGGGGGGGGGGGGGGCAGGGGGGGTGGGGAGGGGGGGCCCCCCCCCTGGGCCCAGGTGCTGTGCCCTGCTCCTCTGGGGCCTCTGTCACCTGGAACGTGCAGACTGGGGTCAGCTGCAGCGAGGACCCCACTGCTGCCCACCCTGGCGTGAATGGCTCTGCCCTTCCCGAGCTTCTTCCTTAAGATGGATGCCGAGGACAGCTGCCGTCGGTGGGGGGGGGGGGGTACCCACCTGGTTGATGCACAGCACCGGGCTCTGGAAGGTGCAGCTCAGCCGGCGCAGAGCAGCCCCCAGTGCCTGCAGACGCCTGGCCCTGGGGACCGAGGCCGCTCCATCAAACTCACAGCGGAATGGGGCGGCCACGGAGTCGATGACCACCAAACGGGCCACCCCCCGAGACAGAAGCACGGGCACCTTCTTTCTCACACACTCCAGCAGGGTGTCCTGGAAGCCGAGGGGGGTGGCGTCACCGCCCGTGCCGTTGGCGTCTCCCCGGCTGCCCTGTGCCGAGGGACCCCTCACACACCCATCCCTTTACTTCTCAAGTCTGGTGGGGCCGACAGCACGTGGGGCCATCACTGTGACCGGGCCTTTCTCCCTCCGTGGCCCCATGCCAGGCACTGACCCCGGACGCAGCCACACCGCAAGGCCGACTTGTTACCGCCACGGTCCCAGAGACCACACTCCTGCCAGGCGGGGGGGGGGGGGTGGCCCTGCCCCCTGCCCAGCAACCCCCAGTGGGAGGAGGAAGGAGGTGGTGGGGGTGGGGCCACCGGTACTGTGAAGTGCCCCCGGGGCTGTGCCCAAGCAGGGGGCGGGGGCAGGTGGCCCCCCGCCGCCCCGCCCAGCCTCCGGGGCCTCAGGCCTGCCCCTTGGAGCCATGGGCCCTGTGGCTGGGACTCGGGCCCTGGTGCCGTGACCACGGCCGGCTGGTCCACCCTGAGTGAAGCCCCGTCTGTGCTTCCGTCTCTAGGGCGTCTCCAGTAGAGTCTCTTTCTGTGGAAAATGACAGCAGCAGCGGCCTCGAGGACGCCAGCGGTAATGTGAGTCCCCCACCCCGTGCCCGCGGGAGGGGGGGGCTGGGCAGGTGGGGAGGCCCTGCTGGCACTGCTGACCACCCCCCCGGCCTCCTGGAGACACCGGGCAAGAGGGTGGAAGCCCTCCGCCCCCAGAACTGTCTTTGGAACCACACTTAGGCCACCGTGGGGTTCGGCGGCCCCGGCCCTGACGGCGCTCTTCTCTCGCAGTGAAGCCACCCCCAGCCTGGAAGACCCGGGACGACGCTGCTTGTGTGCCGCCAGAGGCAGCCCTGTGACAGCCAGGGGACGGCCGAGGCTGGAGGGCCCTGGAGCCGGGAGCCTGCAGCACTAACCTCGTCTAACCCCGTGTCCCTGTGCCACGGAGCACACTTCCTACTACTAACTGCACTGCTCGTCGGGATGCGCGCCGCTCGCAAAGCCATGGCCACGCTTGGCCCCTACAGGACGGCGGGGTGGGCGCGGCCTCCCTCCTGGGCTGCGCTTCCCGGGAGCCCCGCAGGCCGCCCGTGTCCTGACCCTCCGCGGAAGGGGCCGTGGCTGCGGGCCCCGTGGGCCGGAGCTTACCGCGCTACTTCCCCAAGCTGTGTGAGATAGGTTTCACTGTACAGTTTTTAAAAATTACAAGTTTATATACCTTACCCTTTCCTTGCAATTTTTGTAAGAATCCTTACGCGGGGGGAGGCCCACCGGGACCGGGGCGCTCCGCCAGCCGCTGCTGAGGTGCCCGGGAGCCGGCCCCACGCCTGGTGTGCTGCTCTGTCCTCACTTGCCACCTTCCCTTGCGGTCCTCTCCCGCCCTCCGTCCCTGCCACAGTGCGCTACGGCAGCACCGCTCCCCCTGCCTGCGCGACCTTTGTCCCCTCCCCCGGGGTTCCCGTCCCTGCTCGCTGCGCACCGGCAGGGACAGGTCACTTGCTGATGCTTCCAGATCTGTCCCCGAGTGCCGTGGCCAGGTGGCAGTCAGCCGTCTGAGGGGCCTGTTGGGGCCGGGGACCTGCCAGGCCCTGGCCAGGTTGTGGCGGGGGGGCTCCTGTGCCCTGATGGGGGGCTTTCTGCTCTGCCAGAGGCAGAAATAAAACCCAGTACGGACTGCTGTGGCTGGGACGGCTGGCCTGGACCGCCGGCCACGTCGTGTGGGCAGGGGGCACCACAGGGTGGCCGGCGGGAGGTGTCCCCTGCAGCTGCGGCCCTTTCCAGGGGACTGAACACCACGGCCGGGGGGCGTGGGTCAGGGCAGCAGGCGCCGTGCTGGGCACCCTTGCGCCCGCGGGACCGCCCTCCCCCACTCCTTGTGCGTGGCAGTGACGAGCCCCGCAGGATGCCTGGTCCAACCGGAATTTCAGGTACCAGATCGTGTGGCTCTGAATGTGTGGCCCACGTGCGTGGGCACGTGTCTCTGCCAACGGGTACTGGGGGTGGCCCGGGGTCTCGTGTGTGGCCCTGCCCACTGGACCGACCTCCCCTCGGCACTCAGGGCCAGAGCGACACTCACCACGTCGGCCACGTGCTCAATGAAGATCTGGTTGCCAAATTTAATTCTTTCGACCACGTCTCCCGGCACGTCTGTCCGCAGGCGCCGCTGCTGAGCCATGAGCTGCTGCAGACGCACGCTGGGGAAGACATCTTCCGTGCAGATGTACACGGCCCCTGGGAAGACAAAGGGCCCCTCCTTGCTGACAGGATGCCACCCCATGGGCCTGTCCCCAGCCTGTCTCGAGTGGAAGTGAACGGAGTTATCAGGGCCCAGGTTTCTGGCAATGCCCTTCCTGCGCACGCAGGACCATCCCTCAAAGGCTCTACTCTTGGCTCCTTGCTCCATCCGGGGCTGCATGGTGACAACCATGTCTGTGTGTGACTGGAAAAGCCAGTCGGCAAACAGCGGGTTACGCGTCCCTAGAAGCCCGGACACCCTGGGGCAACAGCCCGGCCCGGGCCTGGATCTCCGCACCGGGGAATGGACCCCGAGTCCACAGCCAGAAAGAACTGGGGGCCGTCCGAAGTAAACCCTAACATTTGTGGCAACTGATTTTCAACCAAGGTCCCCAGGCAGCTCAACAAAAGAATGGTCTCTCCACCAAATGGTGCTGGGACAGCTGGGTCACTGTAGGCCAGGCGCTGCCAGGGCACCCAACTCCAAAGACATGGGAAGCCTCCGTGACCTCGGATTCGGCACTGGATTCTCAGATGTCACACCAACAGCGAGCAAAGGCAGAGACAGAAACTGCACTTGATCAACACAGTACCATCAAGAAAACGAAGACAACCCACAGAGAGGAGAAAATACCGTAAATTCCGTGTCTGGGAAGAGTCCAGCAGCCATATCAGACAGAGAGTTCTTACAACTCAACCACAAGACGACCCAAGTCAGAAACCAGGCAAGGGATCTGAACAGACCTTTCTCCACAGGAGACGTGAGATGATGGTCGACAGGCCCATGAGGAGATGCCGAACACCCTCACTCATCCCAAAATGCAGATCAAATCCACCGTGGGACCACCGCCCACCCACGACGGTGGCTCAGATCACAAAGTCCAGTGTCGGCGAGGACAGTGCGCTGATGGGGGTGGGATGCCGGCTGGCGGCCCCTCACCCACTCGGACGCGGCACGTGCACAGGACCCCGCGGTACTGGGTGTGCGCGTGCTCACGAGCCACGTACGCCAGCATTCAGAGCAGCACTGTCCACAAAAGCCACGGGGTGGAAGTCACATCACGTGGATGGGCGGATGGGCGAACAAACATGCTCTGGACACACAACAGAATATTGTTCAGCCGGAAAAGGGAACCAAGTACGACACGTGTTCCAACATAATGAACCGTGCCAACATCATGCCGAGGGAGAGACCGCAGAGGTCACGACCTAGGATTTCACTTCCGCGAGACGTCTGAAACAGGCGAACCCCGGAGCAGGAAGTGGAGCCGGGACTGCCAGTGGGCAGTGGGGAGGGCCCGCGAAATGTTCTAGAATTAGGCAGTAGCGATGGAAACGCAGCTCTGTGAATACACTAGAAAGCACTAAATTGTACGTTTTAATTTTATGGTATGTGAACTACATCTCAATTTTTTAAAAAAAGAAATGGCCGGGGTTCTGGTGAAGCTCTGGCTCCAGGACCCCCAGCAGACCTTGGGTCCCTTACCCGCATCGGTCACTGCACAGCCTTGGGCAGGGGAACTGGATGAACCAAAGGACCCATACCACATATGCGCACGCACCCTGTTTGTGCCTAACTTTTGACTTCGACCTAACTGTGTTTTGGCAGAATTTGACACATAAGAGACGGATACGTGGCGGGACGAGAACCACCAAGTCTGTAGCGAGCGCCTGACCGTCAGCATCTCCTTAACCTTCCTGGGCAAATTCCAGACCATCCCTTGGGGAAATGCCTGGAGACACGGCTGAGCCCCTGACCCTGTCCACCCCGGGGGCAGCTGGGCGTGACCGTGCTGGCCCGTCTGGGGAGAGCAGGCTGGACGGAAGGTTCAGCGTGGAACCAAGTCTGTCTGTGCAGCCCCGAAGCCCCTTTACCCCCCTGGGTGTGTGGCTGGGAGAGGCACAGGGCCTCGCCGCGCCGCCCCCACCCGCCACAGGCCATGGTGGCTTCTCCAGGGTGGTCCTGGCAGATGGTGGCGGGCCAGGGAGAGAGGGGGCTCCATCAAGTGCAGGATTCAAATAAATCCAAAGTGTCTTTGCCATTCTTTTCAAAATTAGGGCTTTCAGATCTCACTGGGTAAAAGGAGTTATTTTGTCAGGAAAGCAGGCATCTTTGGACGCAACATTTAATGTCATAGTAACCTCGGGGCCACCTCGAGGCCTGGGACACCCGCCCGGCTCTCTCCGGGTCCCCCCTGCCACTGTGGTCATGTCTCCTTTCCCAGGGGCTAAAGCCTGTGCGGCCGGCCCATAGCCCAGCGTCTGATGGACATCCCCAGAGCCTCCTTGGCCACCCAGCAGCTTGGCTCCCCACAGCCTCATGCCCACCAGCTCCTGGTTTTTGGCGTCCCTGCTTCTGTCTGGCAGACGTGGGGGGCTCCGTGCAGGAGCTGGAAGCACGGGTCTCTGATCCCCAGCACAGCCCGTGTGGTGTGGCGTGACGTGGCTGTCACTGAGAGGCCCTGGGTGGCATGGCGGTGGTGGAGGGGTAGAGACCCCCAGACCGGCAGTGAACGAGGCAGGCTTCTCCATGGGGCAGGGCCACCTCAGGCCGGGGTTCGAGCGAGCCTGCGGGCAGCTGAGGGGCCACGCTAGGCCTGCTGTGTCCCGGAATGGGGGACACGGGCTCTACTACGGGAGGTTTTCAGGGCATCTGGCGCCAGGAGGGGTGGGCCCAGGAAGCTCTGAGCACCCAACCTCGCGGTGCCCTTCCCGCTCCCCCAGGCCAGGCCCACCCTGAGTACGGACCCAGCCTGGACAGAGATGCCAACGGTAACTGCTCGTGTGACCCATCCAGGAGAAGAGGAGTCTGCAGGGACCCTGCTGGGCCAGAATGTCGCAGGCCATCGTGGCGTGAAGGAGACCAGGCTGGGAGAGCTTCAGCATCAAGACTGGATGGCCAGCCCTGCACTCCACATCCAGCCTGTCTCGGGCGCAGCCCCCCAACAGGGCCCCGCGGACACACTGGTTGAGCAGACGCAAGCTGGGCATCATTGTGCCTCTTTCGTGGGGTAAACGGACGACCCGCTTCCAAGGCCAAGTCCATCTACCCAGCCCCAGCACCAGGCGCCTGGCCCTTAGGCCTTCCCGGACTGCACCTCGCACAGAGACGCTGGAACCAGAGTGACACACAAACGCCTGCCTCAGGTGTGAGCAAGCACCGCACGTGGTCAGGAGCCCCTGCCTGTGGCCAGCAGACCTGGCTTGTGCCAGACGCTGGGGGTTCACGGGAGCCGCACAGACCCTGCCCTTTACGAGAGCTCACGGTGCTAACGGGAAGCGGGAGAGATCCAGACCATGCAGCCTGCTGCCGGTGCCCCTGCGGGGTGCTCTGCGACCACAGGAACCTGTGCATAATCCCGGTGCATGTCACCGGGGCGGGATGTCTGGGCCCGGTTGCATCCCTAGCTCGCCACATGGCCCAGCCTGTCCGGGCAGCGGGGTGTGCACGTGAGCTTGGAGGTGCCGCCGGCTTGTGTGCAGCCCAGGAGCAAGGAGGGACCGTGGAGCGTCAGAGAGACAGCTACCCGACAATGTCACGTGCGCACCAGTTACCTCACGTTTAGTAAAAACAATTCAGATTTTGAACACTTGAGTGACACACGCAGGCAGCCTGGAAAAGTCCCTCTACCGCATAGCCCATGCAGATGTCAGCCACACAAAGCAACGCAAGAAGCACGGCCCAGCCCCCGCCACGCAACACAGGCCTGCCCGCCCCCACCACCCTGGGGCTCCAGCCCGCAAGCTCCTTCCCCAGAAACAGAAAAGCGAAATACTGCTTGCCCGGGTCTGCCTCTGAGGACCAAAGAGTTGGCAGGCTGGTGGCGTGGGCGTGTGTGAGCATGTGTGTGCAGGCTGGTGGTGTGAGCGTGTGTGTCTATATATGAGCGTGTGTGCAGGCTGGTGGTGTAAGCGTGTGTGTGTACAAGCGTGTGTGCAGGCTAGTGGCGTGAGCGTTGTGTGTGTACAAGCGTGTGTGCAGCCGGTGGTGTGAGCGTGTGTGTACGAGCGTGTGTGTGCAGGCCGGTGGTGTGAGCGTGTGTGCGCAGGCCGGTGGTGTGAGCGTGTGTGTGTGCGAGCGTGTGTGTGCAGGCCGGTGGTGTGAGCGAGTGTGTGTACGAGCGTGTGTGTGCAGGCTGGTGGTGTGAGCGAGTTCGCAGGAACCCTTGGGCCAGGCCCACAGCCTGCGAGGGGACTTTTCGCTCTGCCAGAGGCAGAGAAAGATGGAACCAGGAAGACACTGTGGGTACGTCTGGCGCAGCCTCCGTGGAGTACGGCCCCAGCACTGCTGGCCCCCCTCAACTCCTGGGCAGAACCCCCACCCCCGCAACTCTGCCCCCCACTTCGGGGCAGCCACTCACCGGCCTCCAGGCCTCCGTGTTGCCGTGGGAACTGCACGGTCAGGCAGAGCTGCAGCGCCAGCTGGGTCTTGCCGGCGGAGCTGGGGCCGGCCAGCTCGGTGAGGCCGTCCAGGGGCAGGCCGCCGCGGAGAAGCCCGTCGAGCACGGGGCAGCCCAGGCTCAGGCGCTGGTGCTGCGCGGGGAACCTCTGCTTCTGCTGGTGCAGATGCAGCGCTGGGAATGCGGGGCGGGGGGGCGGGGAGGGGGTCAGGCACCACGTGGTGGAAGGACAGGTGACCTCGGTCACGTGGGTGGATGAGGTGCCAGCCGGCAGGGAGGAGGCGGTCACGGCTGCTGCAGTGCTCCATGGGCACCTGGGGGCTCCGGGCTCTGACCGCCAACTCACCCCTGCTTCCCACGCCCCTTGGCTCGGTCCCATCTCTTCTGGCCCAAGAGCTGACTCTCAGAAGCGAGGGCCCCCATGGCCCCCCCCGCCACCTGACAGGTCCCCACCCCGACGTTCTCTGTGCACACCTGTGCAGACGCATGTCCCCTGCAGGTGTGAGGAGGCCGTTCTCAGCAGGTGCTGCACGTCAAGGCTGGGGAGGCGGGTCAGTCTCTGCAAGTCTGGTCCAGAAAAATGCAAAACCTCCTTCACTGATTTCAGTTTGGCTGAAATTATACAAATAAATTACAGGGCGAGTTCAGACTACGGTAACACGAGGCAACAGGACGACAGCAGGTGCTCTCAGGAATGCTGTTCTGGGGACCCGGCGGGCAGGGGCCTGATCCATCCACTCCCTGAGGCTCTGGGAGCCCCTTGGTAGAGTGTGACGAGCAGGAGGAGGGAGGGGGCCTGGGGGAGCCCCACTTCACAGCTGCAGCAGCAGGAGCCAGAGACGAGAGGGGCCTCTCCCAGGTGCCCAGAGCAGTGGATGCAACCCAGCTCCGCACCCCGGAAACATCTCTCAAGAAAGGAGGTTTCTGTGGCTGGGCAGGCCTACACACCGGCAAGGCTAGAGGAGGATTCCAGGGCAGGCTGAGGACCACGCGTGAGGGAAGGGGTGCAGGACGGAAAGCTGAGCCGGGTTCCAAGCAAGCGTCCACTGTACCAGACCGCTGGCACGGTGGGGAGGGCGGGATGGCCGGTGGGACAAACAGCGAATGCACGAGGGTGACAATGCCAGTGGGCAGCAGCTAGGTGGGGAGGGTTACGGAGTTAATGTGTCCAAAAGGCCTGGGACTTGGGGAGGAGAGTAGATAAATTAATTTTGGGCTTGGATAAATGCATTACTTTCAAACTAGTACAAAATAAATTTGCTAAAAATATATTCAACCAATCCAGAAGCCAAAAATGGAAAACCACCACAAAAAGAAATACAAAAAATAGCTCAGCATAATAAGGCAGACTTAACCCCACACGTATCAGGAATTCCCTATGTATGCACTGAACGCTCCGGTTAAAACAGATGGACAGGCTGGATGAAAGGGAAAACAAAGCAAAACGACTGATGGGCTCTGAAAAAACCAAGAGCCAAGGATGAAGGAACAGGACCTCAAGACTCTGCCCCCGTGTAGGGCATCACCATGTTGCTGCATCAGCCCCCACGCGTACTTAGGATTCCATGTTATATGATCAACAAGCATCCTAATGCTGACGCTTCCCCATCAAATGCCCCAGGAGACAAGGGGAGATGGAAGGGAGTCCCAGGACGCCAGCTGGTGCAGGGCAGCTGGGGATGCGTGCACCAGGAAACAAACAGAACGGGTGAGCTGTTCAACCCTTTGAGCATTTAAAAATGAGGCACTGGTGCGTGACGGACACACTGGACAATGTGGGGAAAATCAGTGAGCCATGCACAGAAAACACAGCATTGGAAAAAAAGGGGCAACTAACAACGTTGGGGAAAAATAACAAAGATGGGACAAGAAAGGAAACCGTCTTAACCTCCCAGTTCAGCAGCAGTCACCATGTCCCCGTCAAAGCCCTAATGGCCCAAACTGTGTTCCAACTGTGGGGGGAGGAGTGGCCTTGTAAGTGGGGGCACAAGCAAACCAGTCCTAATCAGTGCAACACCCACTCCGTGAGTAACCCCTGACATTGACAAACTGAACACAGCAACACAAGCACGTCATTTAGAAACCGAGATGTAAATACAAAAGAAGTTGATAAAATCACAAGTGGTGTAAATAGTTCCATTTCACTTCTTAGACGATAAACATGTGTTACCTTTGATGAAAATAAAATGAACTTTAAAAAAGTCTTCAGTGAAACACACACACACACACCCGAAAAACCTGCAACACACTCCAGCATGGGTCACTAATCAGCATCAGTTGGCTTGGCGAAGGGGAGGACCTGGACAGGCAACACCGTTAACCTGTTTTTCGTGCACTGTGTACACGTACATCCATACATTTCACATATCTACTCGATCCAAACATCAATAAATATACCTTTCTTAACTGCGGCAATAATTCTGGGATTCAGGTCCAAATGATCCAAATCCATTTCTTCAACAGGTTGACCACAAAGACGAATAACTTCTCAGGGACACAAACTCCAATGTGCTTGCTGTCACTGCAAACCACCCAGGAGCCGAGCACAGCAGAGTGATGGTGGCCTGGGTGTGCAGTCCCCTTTGAGACGGGTTCACCGTCAGCCCCGAGGTTGCAGGAGAGACTTTAGCAGGAAAACCACTGAGGTGAGTCTAAGGCAATGCTTTTGTTATAGAGCCGCCATTCGGTAACTTAGAAACCATGAATTCCAATCCATAGAGTGATGTGTTTGGAGAAGGGCCCCCAGGTCACCTGCATTCTAAAGGTCCACGCTACACAAGGCAGGCCCATTCCGTCCCCTGCAGAAAGGGTTAAAAATGAGCACGTTCTCTGGCCCCGAGTCCTGGCCCCAGGACCTGGTTTCCAGATGAGCACCCTGCCTTGACCCACCTCTTTGGTGAGGATGCCGCAGACAGCTGGAGATCATATGCACTGGGCTCGCGGGAATGAAGTGTCTTCTGCGTTCTCCAGTTTCAGCTCCCCTAAGTGTGTCTCCATGGAGGATCTGGCAAGAATGGGAAAAGTGAGTTTTGAATCTTGCAGGATGCTTGCGAGTTGGAACCTCCACGACTACCAAGCTGTTTCAGCAGAGGACAGTGGAGACTGTCCCGCCCTTGCCCTGCAGCCCGCACCCGTCCCCTGACCAGCAGCCCAACCCCGCCCCTGCTGGCTGCCCCACTCAGCCCAGGGCCACGCAGGAGCAAACCCCCCAGAGCAGCAGGGCTGGGGGTGCAGCAGGGTGGGTGCAGGAACGCCAAGGCCCACAGCCAGACGCTGGCCCGCTGAACCCTGTGCCGACGTCCACCAGCAAGGCCTCTGCCGAGGGGCAGGTCACCTGCCCTTGCAGTGCTCAGAGTGTTAGGATGTGGACAACATCAGGTTGATTTTGGCGCTTCGAGAACCAGGTGACTCGCACCGTCCCATTCACAGGCCGGTCAGGGAAACAGGTCTGGCACCCAGAACTGACAGTACCAGTTTGGGGTGACTGCAGAGCCTGATGCCCAGGTGTGACTGCACCACGTGATCATGACAGCTGCTGCAGGAAGCAGCTCACGCTCTGGGTCCCGCGCCTGCCTGTGGCAGGCGCTCCAAGGCCAGGGCTGCTGACACTGGCGAGGACACACGCAGAGGCCCCGGCCCCCCGGAGGCCACCAGGACCGCAAACTGCCGAAGGATGGTTGGGTCTCTGCCAGAAAGAGGCGCCAGAATGCAGGGCCCCAGGGCCAGCCACACACAGAGAGAGGCGATGGGGACTGTGACAAGCTCCAAAAGGTACCCTGAGTGTATGGAAGGTGCGAGGTTAGATTCCTGAAGACAGAAAGCAAATACGGAAGAGATATCATCTGCAGGACAAGTAGTAAGTTGTCAAAGGAGCTGTGGCGCACCCTCCTGGCTTGGCAGGGAGCTCAGCTTCAGGGGCCCTGAGGACACGAACGGGAAGAGGTGACCCAGGGAGGCACCACCCAAAACCACCTCCAGGTAAACAGAACACCCGGACGAAATACCAAGCTTGCTGTTTTCAAATTCCGGAGAAAGAGTGTGTGTGTGTTTGTGTGTGTGTGTGTGTCCATCCTTCCCCTAGACCCGTGGAAAGCCCCGGGGGCATGCCTTGATGTGACACGCAGCCAACATGCTGGGCTGGGGTCCGGTCGTGAAGACGGCCGGCCGGGTGAGAGACGTTCTGGCTGAGGCTGCCCAGGCTGTGCGTGTGGAGCCAGGGAGGCTGGCAGGAGGCTACTGCCTCCGGGAGGTCCCTGGATACAAAACTTGGATCCTGAGGAGCAGCTTGACACAGGGCAGGAAAACAAGCCAGGTGAGCACAGTGCCTCAAGCTTATGTGGTGGAGGAAAAGGGCATTGGGAAGCAGAGTGACCATGGGTGGAGCCCCCGTAAACCAGACACTGGCCCGGGGGCTGGACAGACAGCCCCCAGGTGGGTGCCCTGTCTCCCTGCCTCCCTGAGGGCTCGGGCGCGAGCCAGCCATCCTCCGGGCCCTGTGCACACGCAGAGCTGCAGACCGGGGCAGCTTCCTGGAGCGTTTCGGTTACTGTTCACAGGGGACAGTGACCACCACATGCCACTGGGTGAGTGGCACAGAGCTACTGGAGAGAACCCACGGTTTGCATGAATCATTAAGATCGATGTGACTTTGAAGCAGTTCCTGCCGGAGTGAAGGCCAGAGGGGGACTCACTCTCTCCTGTTTCAGGGCACTCCCTCAGGACCCCGGCGGCTAGCCCAGGCCGCGTGGAAAGCTCGGAGCTCCACACGGACCGGCCCACCCCCACTCTGGGCAGCAAGACTCACGTTTCAAGCAGCTTTAATGAACTTGCAAGTAAGGAGGCATTACTGGGAATCCCACTTCAGCTGCAGCTCGGGCGGTACCACACACAGCCGCCCACACACCAGAGGGCAGGGCCCAACTCTCTAACCGGGAGGAGAGTCGGCCTGATCTCCCACAGAACCAAGGCCACGTTCTCTTGCCAAGTTCAAAGCTAAATTCAGGCAAGGTAGCGCAGCCTCACTGGTGTGCTGAAGTCACCGCGGTACCGGAACACGGGGTGCACTCTCAGGACGGTTCTAAGCACGCTTCCCACATCAGGCCTCACTCAAACCTCGGGTGAGCAAGACTACCACCCCCGCCTCGCTGACCAGGAAAGGGACGCACACAGCCACTTACTGACAAGCTCGGGTCATACAGCCGGCAGGGGGGGTCCGGGTCCAGGCCCCGAGCTCTACCTCCGGCGCTCGCCTGTGCACAAATCCAGCAGGAACTGTTCAGTCTCCAC